ACAGAGGGCGAGGGGCAGGGCATCAGGGCTGATGTGCGAGAGAATGGCTTTACACTTGATCTTGGCCCAAAGTGCCGAAAGTCTGAGAAGCGATGCACGGAAAGGGTTTTAATATATGACCAGAATGAACGTGTAACACACTGACATGGGGTCTAACCTGGCGAGGAGGGAATGTTTTGCTCTTCACCTGCCTCACTGGTTCAGAACTGAGAGGACGTGAAGGAATGAGGGACATCAAAGAGGTGGTAAGATTGTTCTATTTGTGTCTTTGGAAATACATCTTGATTTTGGTAGTTCAAGCCCTACCCCTACCCATTGGCCACCCAACCGTCTGTCCTCTGGGGTTGGATGGTGGAGCCCCAAAGAAGCCTTCCCAAGTGGGAAGCTATTTGGGGTGAGACAAGTGTGTGGGGGACGTGCATTGGGTCAAGAGTGCGAGCAGAGGACACACTTTCCTCTCGGTAGATGTGTGTTTCAGCTCCACCCACTCCAGCAGATTCCTGTCTATTAATGAGGTGGAAGATGATCTTACTCTGTTTTATTTCAGATTCTGATGTAGGAACTGGTGATGAGAAGGTGCCTCTGGAGTCTGCATTTCTGAGAATGGAAATCCGCACAGGACACTGTCAGAAACACGCACAGTGATGGAGACCCCTGCCCCTGAGTCTGGGGGGGTCTCTGCACCAGGATTAGGAGGGCTGTTGGGAAATCTGGAAGGGCAGAGCCCCCTGTCTCGGGAGGGAGGTCGCAAGCCGGTGACAGTTACTCACTGGAAGATCCAAACAGGAGAGGCAGTCCAGGTGGGAGGTGCATGCAGAGGCAGCCCCGTTCTGAGCTCAGACCTCCTCATCCTTCAGAGAGAGCTTATGGAAGGGGAAGCCCACCCATGTGGGACTTGTGGCCAAAGCTTCCCATTTATTGCGGACCTAGTTAGACATCAGATTTCTCATACTGGGGAGAAACCTTACAGATGTGACCAGTGTGGGAAAGCCTTCAGCCAGAGCTCCCACCTTGTTGAGCACCAGAGTGTTCACACCGGAGAACGACTCTATGTGTGCAATGCTTGTGGGAAAGACTTCACTCACTATGCAGATCTCATTGAGCATCAGAGAGCACACGCAGGAGAAAAGCCGTTCAAGTGCACTCAGTGTGGGAAAGGCTTCTGTCACAGCTCGGACCTGATTCGACACCAGCGCGTCCATACCCGGGAGAGACCTTTTGAATGCAAAGAATGTGGGAAAGGCTTCAGTCAGAGTTCATTACTCATTCGACATCAAAGGATTCACACAGGAGAAAGGCCCTATGAGTGTAATGAATGCGGGAAATCCTTCATTAGGAGCTCAAGCCTCATTCGACATTATCAGATCCACACAGAAGTGAAACAGTATGAATGTAAGGACTGTGGAAAGGCCTTCCGTCATCGCTCAGACCTCATCGAACATCAGAGAATTCACACTGGAGAGAGGCCCTTTGAATGTAATGAGTGTGGCAAAGCCTTCATCAGGAGCTCAAAGCTTATCCAGCATCAGAGGATCCACACTGGAGAGAGGCCTTATGTTTGCAACGAGTGTGGGAAGCGCTTCAGCCAGACGTCAAACTTTACTCAGCATCAGAGAATTCACACTGGAGAGAAACTCTACGAATGTAATGAATGTGGGAAAGCTTTCTTCCTGAGTTCATACCTTATTCGACACCAGAAAATTCACACTGGAGAGAGGGTATACGAATGCAAGGAGTGTGGCAAAGCTTTTCTCCAGAAAGCTCATCTCACAGAACATCAGAAAATCCACACGGGGGACAGGCCCTTTGAATGTAAGGACTGTGGGAAAGCCTTCATCCAGAGCTCCAAGCTGCTTCTACACCAGATCATTCATACTGGAGAAAAGCCCTATGTGTGTAGTTACTGTGGAAAAGGGTTTATTCAGAGGTCAAACTTCCTTCAACACCAGAAAATTCACACTGAAGAGAAACTGTACGATTGTAGTCAATATGGGAAAGATTTCCACTCTAACCCGAACTTTAAAAATAATCAAGGTCTTACTCAAGAGGGGCTTCCCTTGAGTAAGACCCCCGCACATGTGGGTGAGAAATCTGTAAGTCAAGGGGGTCACACAGATGACTTATAATTATTCTCCAGGTCAGTGATGTTTGCAGTGGCATGAGTGTTGTGGCTCATGTGCCTTTGGACATGTCAGCATTTCTGAGATTCACGGCTGGGGCTGCTTTAGGAGTGGGTTGCCACCTGCGTGTGCAGCCATGCTGGACTGACCTCGGCCAGGACCCTGTGTCCTCGGGAGAGCTACCTGAAGACCACTGCCTGAGCTGGAACAGTGGGGGCCAGGAGCTAGGTCTCTAGATGTTCCTGCCCAATTATAGCTCGCCCCCGGGTTAAGTCCCCTTAGAGAATGATGTGCCCACTCATTAAACAGCTGATGGAGCAATTTAGATTGATCAGCAGGCAGTCGGAGAACTGCGGGGGCTTCCCTGTGTCCTTGGGCACATTCTGAGCTCCCTCCCTGCATCCTAAGGTCTTTTGCTTCCTGGAGCCTCGTCTCCCACCACCTCACTCAGTGTTGCAGCAGCACTAACGGACGTTCCTCGGATCCAGGCTGTCCCTGCACCCTGGCCTCCGTCCTTGTTCAAACGCTCTCCCTCTCCTCCCGTGGCTACTCATCATGAGAAAGACCACCCAGGCATCGTGTCAGGCTCAGCCTCTTCCACTGCTGGGCCTCTGTCGTCATTCTCACCCTGTTACTGCATTTACTTTGATATATAAGAATTGTGTCTTTATATATGTCTCATTATTGCACTGCTGATTCTTTGTGGACAGTTATATCTGACTGATTTGTGTCCCTGGTGTCTGGCGCAGGACAATAAAAAAAGCCCACCCCATACCTGTGTAAGTGGTGCCTCTCCAGCTTTGTCCCTTTTTGCTGCTATTTTAAAACGCTTGGATTTTGTCCTTGCTTTGTAAAGTGTAACCTGTTGGGCTGCTGGGAATACCTTCTGAGCCCAGTCCATGTCTGCTCGCCCTCAAGCCAGAAGTCACAGGTGGTGGCCAGTGTAAGCCCGTGCCCTCAGGTTGCTGCTGAGCTCAGCCATGGCCATGCCCGGCCTCGGAGCACTGCTGCACTTAGTTGTCCGTGCATCTCTCTGGCTCGCTCCAGGGCAGAGTCCCAGCGCATGACCTGGCTTCCGCCTCTGAGCAGTCCAGGCCTGAACTCAACTCTTCTCTCTCCTACTCGCTGGCTCCGTCTGTCGATGACTTGAAAATATTTTGACCTGTAAGGACCAGTGGTGAGTCCTGGGAAAACATGAGAAAGACACATGGAACCTGAGGCCATTCCAGGTCTCTAGGGAAGCCAGGTCACGGCACAATGAGCAACATGTGGAAACACATGTTCCTGGCTGTGCAGGAGCGAACGCAAGGAGGTGGCTGACATCGCCTTTGACCTGGTCCACGGAGATGAGATGTTTGTCAGAAGATGGAATGAAGGAATTCGAGCAGAAGTAGGGAGTTGCATGGAGCTGTTCAGAAGCAGGCGCGTTTATTATGCAACAGATAACTGGCTAGTGAAGCCATTAGTAGTTGCCTCTGAATTTCCTTTATCTAAACGTTAACCAAAACACCCACTTGTGAAATTGGGTAAGTTCTTGGGTTTTTCTGCCCATGAAGTCATATTTTGAGTTAACAAATTTCAGCAATCCCAGAAGCCCCAAGGGATTAAGTAATTTTAAAAGGGCTGCAGAACTCTCTGTAGAACTTGCCATCTGAAGTGCAGACACTGGTATGACCAGGTCATTTTAATCAACATTGTTGCGGTCCAGTTTCCACACAGTGAAAACACCTATTTCAGGTGTGGTTTTAACGTACCCGTGTCACCACCGTCATAACCAGGAAGCAACATCTCTATTGCCCAAAAGGTTCCCTTTGGCTGTTCCGCAGTTAATCCCACCCCAGCCCCAGACATCCACTGTCGGTCGGTGTAGTAAGTTTGCTTATTCTAGGACTTGGTAGGAGTGGTGCACATGGTATGTAATCGTGTGTGTCCAACTCCTTTTCATTTTGGCATGTTTTAAAAGACAACCCAGTGTAGTTTCTAGCTGCAGTAGCTCTTCTCTTTGCTGAGTCATGTTTGATTGTATAAACTGTCATTTATTATTCATCCGTTAGAAATTCGAGTTTCCACCTTGGACTGTTAAGAATAAAACTGTGATGAACATTTGTGTACAAGTATTCGGAAATGCCTCTTTATTTCTCTTGGGTGAGTGACTAGGAATTGCTGTTATAACTGTCTTTAACTTGATAAAAAGTCGCCATTCCCAGCCAGTGTGACTCGGTCGGTTGGCGCATTCTTCCTACACCAAAAGGTGGCTGGGTTGACTGAGGGCAACTGGGACTCATTCCTGCCGTTGCACCTCTCCCCTCCCCACCCAAAAAAAAAGGTGGCTGGGTTGAGTCCAGTTGGGGCACATATCCAGATGGTGGGCTCGGTCCCCAGTTGCAGTGTGTGTGGGAGACAGCCAATCAATGCATCACTTTCACACTGATGTTTCTCCTCCTCCCTTTCTCTAAAAAAATCAATAAAAGCATGTGCTTGGGTGACTTAAAAAAAAATTGCCAACAAATTTCTCCACACTGACTACCATTTTGTACTCCTGCCACAGTGCCAGGGTCCAGTTGCTCCACGTCCTCATCCACACGCCACTGTCACCCCCTAACACGGAATCCATCCCAGCAGTGTACATGTGTCTATTTCGTCCTGTGTGGCGGAGCTGAGCACCTTTCTACATGCGTGCTGCCACCGGTATCATCCCCACGATGTGTCTGTTCACAACTTTTGCCCACATTTTTGTTGCTGTTAATCCTCACCTGAGGATATTTTTCCATTGATTTTTTAAAGAGAGTGGAAGGAAGGGGGAGACACAGAGAAACATGGTTGTGAGGGACATCAATTAGCTGCCTCCCACACGTGCCCTGACCGGGGCCAGGGATCGAGCCTGCACCCGAGGTACATGCCCTTGACCGAAATTGAACCTGGGACCCTTCAGTTTGTGGACTGATGCTCTGTCCAGAGCCAGGCTGGCAAGGGCTTGAGCAGCTTGGTTAGCGGAAGAGGCCGGAGAGCCGTGCGAGGAATGAGGAGCTGGCAGCAAGATTTTCCAAGTAACTCTTATTAAAGTGTAACTTTCATACAAATATATCCCAAATGTCAGTACCCAGGGGAATGACTTTCCACAAAGAGAGGAACAGTGGCCGGTCTGAGGGTAATGGGAGTGTTGGACTCTTAAGCCTGGAAGGCGGGATGGAGATATGAAGTGTGTGGAGGGTTGGGGGCTCTTCATGAATCATGAGCTTAAATGTGCATGTTGACATCTCTCAGAGAATGAAACGGGGGAGTCCCACTGAAACACAAAATGAGAAAGAAAATTCAGAAACTATAAAATGAATGGATGAAAAGTAATACTGCTATTGATACTGCAACTCAACCTCGATAAACTAACCACACTCTGTGGTCCAAAATAATTGCTTCAAAATACTGACCGTCAACCGGTGACTACAGGGAGAGACTGACGAATGCCAACTCTGAGCGGCCTTCCTCCTCCACAGGAAGCACTGGGCGGAGCGGGGAGGACCCAGAGGGCAGGGTTTCCGCCTGCTTCCTCTGTGGTTCCCCCATGTTAGCTGCTCCTGGCAAACAGGAGCTTCGTTGTGAACCTGTGCTCTCAACTCCTGCCGCTGGGCCCAGTCCCATTCCATCCCAGGCCTGCCCATCCCAAGGGTCATTTTCTTTGGGCCTCAGATCACTGCGCTCTCCTCCGAAGACCAGCGATTTACTAACCTTCCCTCTGCGCTCAGGGCGATGTCACTGTCCTGGGGCCAGCGCTGAGGGTGCTGGGCCTGCTCCCTCCCCCCCCCCCCCTCCAGCCAGGCGGCCTCCTGGCACAGCCAGCCACCAATGAATATGCACACCACCTCAGGGACATCTTAACCGGCCTGTGCACACTGGGACTGACAACTGAATGTGGTAAACGCTGGCAGACGGGTGGCCACAGGGCACTGTGGGGGCAGCTGACAACACTTGCGTGTGAAGTGAGGACTTGCTAGTACTATTTTCTCCCCACTGACCGCGGGACCGGTCACTGGGCTGCAGCGATGGAGAATGTCCCTGTCCTCAGGAAACACTATGAGGACCTAGAGGTGAAGGGGCACCACCTAGCAACCTAATCTGAAATGTTTGGGGGGTGGGGCGCGCGCGCACGCGCACACACACACACACACACACACACAAGAGGTAGAAAGCAAACTGCTGGTGAATCTAGATAAATGCTATACGAGACTTCTCTGTCTTGCAACTTTTCTCTACATTTGAAATTACATTTAAAAAAAAAAGTTACCCAACACCCCCAGGAGGTTAAACAATCGGTGGCTGACACTGGCCCTCCTGACCACAGGCTCCTTTCTGCCCTGGCCACCTTCCCATACCCTCCCTCCCCCTTGCCGTCTCTGCCACCACGGTCATCCCGACTTTCTCCGGCCCTGGCCCTGCGGGAGCAGCTGAGGCCGGCCATGGTGGGGAGGGATGCTGGCTCCGGCTGACACGGGGTGAGGGCACATCAAGCTACCTTGCCGCCCGGAAAGGAGTAAGGGGCCCGGAGCTAGCAGGAAGTGCTGCAGCAGCAGGGCACAGAGGTGTGTGTGTGTGGGGGGGGGGGGGGTCACATTTTTATGAACAACTGCACTCACCAGCTAGCTTCCTGCGCTCGGTCTCCCCCACCCTGGACTCCTTCCGGGCGGGTTCAGTCTGCCCTGTCAGTGTCCTTGGTCTCCGTCGGCTGGCCCGGCCCCGGGACAGAATCAGCAGAGGCAGTGGTGCTCTGCGAGGCCCCGCGGTACGAGGACCGCGAAGGGATCCTGGAGCCATGGAGGGACTGGGTCAAGGATGAGAGCCGCGAGCCGGGGCTGGACAGGGCCAGGGAGCCCAGGCGGGACGGGGCCAAGGAGACTTGGGAGTCCCTTTTCGACCTGTCCTGGGAATGCAACTGTGACCCCGCCTTCAGCGAGGCCAGCGACGGGACCGTGGAGCCCACACGCAGCGAGACCACTGACGGGGCCCTGGAGACAGCGAGGGAAGAGGCCTGGGACGGGTTCCGAGAGGGCTCAAACAAGGAGCCTGGCGGGGAGTTGGAGGAGTCTGTGCCGGAGGCTATGGACCCCTGGCGCGGGGAGGCCAGCGGCTGAAACAGCTCCGGGCCTCCGGGCCCCCGGCGCAGCCAATTGTGCACGCGCGCCAGGTCCCACGAGTCCTGGTGCTCGCTCCACAGCTGCTCGCGCTGCATCAGCAGCTGGCGCCGCATTTCGTGCAGCAGGTGGGCCCGGCGCAGCAGCCGCAGCAGCTCCTCCCGCAACCGCCCGTTGTCTGCCTTGATGGACTGCGTGTGCGCGATGAGCGCGCGCGCCGCCTCCCTCTCCGCGCGACGCGCCATGGACTGCACCCGCTGGCGCGCTTCCCGCTCGAAGGCCGCCTTGTCCTCCAGAAAGCGCCGCTTGACGCGGTGGAGCAGCTGCGTGTGCTCCACGCGCATGTGCAGCAGCTCGCGCTCCAGCGTCCGGATCCGCGCCAGCTGTTCCAGCTGCAGTTCCTGCAGCGGCGGGGGCGGCAGCTCGGGTCAGCACGCGCCCAGCCCACCGGCTTCCGACCCCCGCGCGCCTCGCCGCGCCCCGCCACGCGCACGCGCACTGGTCCGCCCACGGCGCACGCGCACTGGCCTTGTAGGGCTGCAGCTCCTGCACCTGCCGCGCCATGTGCGCCGCGCGCGCCTCCATCTCCTGCAGCTGCGCGCGCACGCCCTCCTCGCGCCCGTGGTAGAGCGCCTCCAGGTCGGTGCGCTGGCTGTGGATCTGCGCCAGGTCCACGCGGTTCTGCTCCTCCAGGCGCACCGTGGCGTTGGCGCAGCGCTGCGCGTGCGTGCTCACGTAGGTGGCGTAGAAGCGGTTCTCGTCGCGCAGGCGCAGCGCCTCGCCGTCCAGGAGGACGTTGTCCTGCAGCACCTGGTCCACGCACTGCTCGTAGGCGTCCAGCTGCTCGGTGAGCAGCCCGTGCTCGCGCAGCAGGTACTGCGCGCGCTCCGACAGCTGCGCCTCGGCGGCGGCGGCGCTGTCTGCCGGCCGGCTTCCGCGCTTCTTTTTGGGCGCCATGAGTCCCGGCCTGGGGCGGAGGGACGCGTGAGGGCCCGCCTGCAGCCCGCTCCCCGCCCAGCCCTGCTCCTCCGCAGCCCGAAAACTCTAGCGGGTGGGGCGCGTCTCAGGGTTGGGGAGGCAGAATCAGGGGCACGTGGTGAATCGGAAGTCGGGGCCCCGTGGCCAACCTTTACTCGTGGGCTCTTTTGGGACCGTGGCCATCCGTGGGGTGCGCCCACCTCGAGTATTGTTGGTGTTCAGCCCCGACAGTCTCCGTGGAGACAGAACTTAGCCGCCCTCCCCCACTATCACCCCGTTGCCAGGGCAACAGCCCTACTTCCCTCCCCCTTCCTGCCCCCCAATTCCCTCACTCAGAGTTGATGCCTGACACCGTGTGTGCCCCGCACAGGTCACACCCAGGCGTCTGGAGTGGCTTCCGAGGATCCCGCCCGAGGCCCGCAGGTCGATTTCAGAGCCGTGGCAGTTCACACCCATGGCCACACCTGCGCGACACGCGTGGCCAGCGCCTCTTAAAATTACGAACGCAACTGAGGCATTTTCCTTCTTGTAAAAAATGTGTTTTATAAATAAAGACAAAATGGCATAAACCAAGACAATGCAGGATCTTTGTTTATTTTAACATTAAAATATTAAAGAGACGGCCCGGCTGGCCTGGCTCAGCGGTTGAGCATGGACCTATGAACCAGGCGGTCACGGTCGATTCCCTGTGAGGGCCCAAGCCGGGGTTGCCGGCTCAATCTCCAGTGTGGGGTGTGTAGGAGGCGGCTGATCAGTGGTTCTCTCTCATCACTGTTTCTCTCTCTCTCCCTCTCACTTCCTCTCTGAAATCAATAAAAATGTATATTTTTAAAAATATTATAAAAGAAACATTGCTCAGCCCTAATCGGTTTGGCTCAGTGGATAGATCATAGGTCTTGGGACTCAAGGGTCCCAGTTTTGATTCCGGTCAAGGGCATGTGCCTTGGTTGCGGGCACATCCCCAGTAGGGGGTGTGCAAGAGGCAGCTGATTGATGTTTCTCTCTCATCAATGTTTCTAACTCTCTATCCCTCTCCCTTCCTCTCTGTAAAAAATCAATAAAATATATATTTTTTAAAAAGAAACATTGCTCATAGCCTAAAACAGCATCTGAACGATGGGCTTAAATGATACGGACTTTTAATATGATATTGGTGCCTGACTTGTAGAAAATTGACAAAAGACCAACTAGAATCAGGGAAAAACAGAAAACCTTGAAGCTGCAAGGGGGGCTTTACTGAGGCCATTTCGGATGGTTCCTCAGCCCAAGCCTGCCAAACTCGCTGCGGTGGGCCGCATACCGGCCGGGGTTTAACATGCTCTAGCGGCTCTCCAGGGCCTGGCATTTACATACCAGGAGCTCTGCCCCCAGGGGCAGCTGCCTGCGCCTCCTGATACCTCACCACCCTCAAGGCCTGCCTGGTGCCACTGTACCCATTGGACAGATTTAGAAACAGACTGCAGACAGTGGAGGCCTATTCCCATGGCCCGTCTAGTCCTTCGCAGTCTGACTTAGTGCCTCCCAAGCAACGCTGCCCCTGCCTCTCCCCGGGCTCCTGTGCGGCACACAACTGTCACGGAGTGTCTGGGTCAAACTTGGCCTTTTAATTTTGTTGCTAGATGGAGGACTCAATGGGCAGAGCTTTAAGTCCTCCCAGCCTCAGGCACCCTCATCTCTTTTCTTTTTAAAAAATATATACGTATATTTTCTTATTAATTTGAGAGAGAGAGAGAGAGAGAGAGAGAGAGAGAGAGAGAGAGAGAAACATCAGTGATGAGAGAGAATCATTGACTGGCTGCCTCCTGCATGCCCCCAACTGGGGATTAAGCCCAAAACCCAAGCATGTGCCCTGACCGGGAATCGAACCGTGACATCCTGGTTCCTGAGCTGATGCTCAACCCCTGAGCCACACTGGCTGGGATCAGGCATCCTCATTTCTGAGTCTGCGGGCATGATATCAGAGACCACCACACATACAGCCCCAAGGAGCCCTCCTGGGAAGGGCCCTGGCAGGTGCCCAAGTGGCCTGGGCACCTGAGTCCATAGCGCATTCGGGTAGCAGGCAGGGCAGCGGATAGCTTTGGGCGGAGGGAGCACACCAGGGCCACCCGGCGGGTGGGGGAGGCTGTGCCCCAGACAAGAAGGGCAGTGGCTCCGACTGTGACTCAGAGGGAAACAGCGGTGATATCCGCTCAGACTTTGACCCTGAGGAGCAGGGGAGGGGTGGGCCCACCACACTCAGGGCTGTGACACCCGGAGGGTGGGGCCGGCGCTGGGGCTGGTCTGGTCTGCAGTGTGGGCGGTGGGTGGGGGCCGTGAGCGTCTGGTCTCCTAAGTTACAAGGAGGCTGGTGGAGGTGGAAGCTGAAGGTTCCCATCTGATTGTTTCAGCAAAGGGCTTTGTGTGCCACCGCCCACACCCCTGACTCTGGTCTCCGGGTTGAGGCCTCCCCATTTCGGCCCAAGGTTAAGACGAACATTAAATACACGGCCTACTGTTTATCTGATGCATAATAAATACCCCATGTTGATAATGCCTCACTCAAAAGAGCCAATGGTTGCCCTCACCAGTGTGGCTCAGTGGATAGAGCACCAGCCTGTGGACTGAAGGGTCCCGGGTTCCATTCCTGTCAAGGGCACATGCCTGGGTTGCGGGCTCCTCCCTGGCCCAGGGCCCTGGTCGGCGCGTGCAGGAGGCAACCAATAGATGTGTTTCTCTCACATCAATGTTTCCCTCTGTCTTTCCCTCCCTCTTCCGCTCTCTCTAAAAGATCAATGGAAAAATATCCTTGGGAGTAAGATCAGCCTTCCCCGAACCGGCTCTTCCCAGTTGATAGTCCCCTGATGACTTTCAAAAGCTCCTTTCTCGTAATAGGATTTTATAAAGTAGGTTCCTCTAAATGTAAAGAAGTCGGTGGAAAACTCAAAGTAAATGAGGTGCTTTGTTTTGCTTTAAAGACGAGTCAACGTAATTGGCCGGGTAACTTGGCTTCAGCCCAGAAAGCTTTTGAGGTCACGTGATTGCCCCAAACCTCCAAGCCTGAGGTTTCGCAGTCCGGCGGGGGTGGAACTCTATCGCCATTTCCGGTCTGTAGATCGTGGGAGAGCGTCACTTCCTTAGCAGTACACTTTAACCCATTCCACCCATGCCTTCTAGATTGCACTTTACAAAAAAAAAAAAAGAAAAATATCCTTGGGTGAGGATTAACAAAAAATAAAATAAATAAAATAAAATAAAGGCCCCTAGATAAAACACATAATAGCAGATTTAAAAACAACTAATGGATGAGTCAAATACCAGTTTCCACTAAAAAATTGGTATGATCATTGATTTAATAATTAAGTGTAATGAATTCACGCTGCAGGTTGTTTTTTGTTTTGTATTTTTTGCTGAAATTCACTGATGTTGGAATAATTCTGCTTATTGGCCACATTCTCAGGGTCGAGCCCTCCTCGGGCTCGGGGTGCAGGGGGGAGGCAGGGAAAGGAGCGGCCCCACTCCTGGCCTGGGAGTCCCCATGACCCGCTCTCACGCCCTTCAGTCTGTCCAGACAGGCAGTCGTCAGTCCTCCCTCCGCTTGGTCAGCGAGCGTCCTCCTCTGCCCTCTGCCCTCTGCCCTCTGCCCGGTGGCACTAGCTTTCCCATTCGCCTTCATATTTAGGGCTCCGCCTAAACCTGCCATTTCACTGGGCGATCGCATGGGGGGCGGGGGGAGGCTGTTGAGGGCAGAGGCTCGCTATCTTTTCCCTGTTGGAAGGGTTTGGTAGGGATGGGCCTTTCGCTTAGTTGTCACCAGTCCAGCTGCATTTTATTACGTTTATTCGAAGGACAGCTTTCGCCGGCTTTCTCTCCCGCTTGTATAGTTCCCGTTCCAGGGCGTCCTGCTCTCGTCTTCATTGTCTCGTCATTTCTGCCTGTGCTGGGCTCAGCTTCCGCCTCGTTTGCCGGCCTCTGACGGTGGGAACTGACGTCCTCAATAAGCAACGAGAGCCATGGCGTCCGCTCGGCCTGGCGGGGGCCGCACCCCGCGCCTCCTCGGGGTCTTCACTGTCTTCGGTTCAAAACGGTTTATACTTAACCACGCCCCTTCTCTGGCTCGTGGCTCACGTGTAAGTGTGTTGTGTAAAACTCGGCATCTTTTTGGGGGGAGAGGGGGTGTTTGTCACTTACTTCTGTTTCAATCTGGGGGATCAGAGACCGTAACCTGGCAGCGCTGGGGCGGCGTGGCCCGACCCCGCCTGCGAGTGACCTCACCGTCAGCCCGGATCCTAGATCGGGGGGCGGGGAGGGGGGGCGTGCGGAGGCTGCGCAGGCTCCTTGGGGCAGAGGCCGACAGGGGCACCTCTTCGCGGGGCCGGGTTCGGGGCAGTGGTGAGGGGGCGGGGCTTTGCTGCAGGCCCCGCCCCCAGGCCCCGCGCAGGCGCCGCCGGTTCCCAAGGCAACGGGGTTCAACAGCTCCAGCGCCGCCGGTTAGTGCAGCCCGGGCCCGCCGCCGGCATGTACACGGCCGAGGTGGACGCGCACGTAGCCCAGCGGTACCTGCTGAAGCGGCGGCTCGGGAAGGGGGTGAGCCGGGCCGCGCCCGCAAGGCCAGGCAGGGTCTGTCTCCCCGGCTCCGTGGGGACCGAGGCTGGCATCGGGCCTCCGCCACCTGCCGGAGGTGTGGCCTCGGTTTCCGGTAACAGGCCTCCGGCATCGCCGCCTCCCAGGGGCACGGCTCTGGGTCCCGGAGCAGCGCCTGCCCGCCGTCCCCTTCCTCCTGCTCCCCAGCTCCGGCTCCCGGCGCCCACACTGCTCCCTGGGAGCTGGACCCCCCTGTCCCAGGCTCTGAGGGGGGCGGGCGCTGAGAGGATAAACGCGGTGGACGTGCATCGGGAACCAGAGCGTGTGTGAGCCCACGCGTGTTTGCGGTCGTGAGTGAGCACGTGGGATTGTGCAGGCGTGTGTATGTGAAGCTGTGTGAGCGCGTGTGTTCATGGGGGGCAGTGCACACAGCAAGGGCCAAGGCTTGACTTGGGGGGAATCAGAGTTGTTGAGACTGGATAAGTGACGGGGGACCGGTCGGGCGGATCGCGGGAGCTCTGGGGACTTGGGTTCTACTTCTAGTGACACCGGGAGTGGTGGCAGCCGTTGGTGCCAGGTTACCAGGCTCACCTGCCGCTGTTGGGGGGGTGGGGGGGGCGGGCAAGGGAGATGAGTGAAGATGTTCGCCTCCACTAGCCAGGCCAGACTTGCGGGAGCCTCAGTCTGGGGGGGCGGGGGGGGGGGCAACAGACATGGCAGCAATGGTTGGATTCTGATGAATTCTGAAGGAATGGCCAGTAGGATTTGCTGACAGGCTGGCTGGAGCATGTGAGAGAGAGGTTAGGGTGCCTGGAGAAGGGTCCTGCCCCAGACCCCAACCCTCCCTGGCCTCCATCTCCCCTTGCTGCCTGTCACCGCCCCCACCCCCCCAAGGATGCTGGGGTCCTGAGCAGCCTGCAGTGGCCCTCATTGCACTCCTACCCCTCCCAGCAGCCAGACCAGGAAGGAGGGGGGTTGGGTGGGGACAGGGGGCTGACCGCCCTCCTCCCCAGGCCTATGGAATTGTGTGGAAGGCGGTGGATCGGAGGACTGGCGAGGTCGTGGCCATCAAGAAAATCTTTGATGCCTTTAGGGATAAGACGGATGCCCAGGTAACAGCGTGGAAAGGGCGAGGGCAGGGCTGGCCCCCTGCCTTGGGCCTGCTCTGAGGAGTGGTCCCAGGGTCAGTGGGTGTGGGTGGCGAGCCCAACGCCTGTGGGCCCTGCTGCCTCGAACACGTGTGTTTCTGCCTCGTTCCAGAGAACGTTCCGGGAAGTCATGCTGCTCCAGGTGCGTGGCCACGGCATCAGCCCCTTCCCCGGGCGCCGTCCCCCCAAAAGCGGGGAGCTGGGCCGCTGCCCCGGAACCCAGCTGCTGGCTCTCTCCCCAGGAATTTGGGGACCATCCAAACATCATTAGGCTCTTGGATGTGATCCGGGCGGAGAATGACAGGGACATATACCTGGTGTTTGAGTTTATGGGTGAGTCAGGCCTCCTCCGCCCTCGCCTGAGACCCCCCGCCAGTGGTCTGGCTCCCTGGGAACGTCCCTCGACTCCTCAGGTCCCTGCGTGGCCGGCACCCACCCCTTGGGCAGTGCCCTGTGCCCAAGGACAAACAGCTTGGCTGATGGCAGTGCCCCCAGAGGCCCCTGCTGTGTCCACTGTTCGCAGCTCCTTTTCCCTTTTTCTACTCATTTTATAAAACAAAGGCACAGCCCGAGCTGGTTGGACTCCATGGAAAGAGGGTTGGCCTGTGGACTGAAGGGTCTGTTGCAGGCTCCACCCCGGCCCTGACTGAGCTGTGCCTCCCCTTCCACTCTCTCTAAAGCCAATGGGCAATTCCCTCAGGTGAGGTTTAACCAGAAAATCAAAATAAAACAAAGGCACAAAATAAATAAAACAATTCCACAAACTTCCTGCTGTCCCAACCGTGAGCAGGCCCAGGCTGCCTGCAGTCTCACTGGTAGGTGTACCCGCCCAGGGCGTGGCCCTGCGGGCGGCCGAGGGACCTGGGCTCGGCGGGCAGCGGCCAGCAGGTGCCCTGAGCGGTTCCAAGAGGGACAGACCGAGCTGCTCTCCCCAGGACCCCTGGGCTAACCCAGACCCCACTGCTGCCTCGATGCCCCCCAGACACGGACCTGAGCGCCGTCATCTGCAGGGGCGCGCTGCTGAAGGACGTGCACAAGCGCTACATCTTCTACCAGCTGCTGCGGGCCGCCAAGTTCATCCACTCGGGCCGCGTCATCCACCGAGACCAGAAGGTGCCACCTCGCCTGGCCCACTGCACCCCTGTCCCCCGTCCCCCCCCGCCGTCCCCCGCCCCCGTCCACCGCGCGGGGCCTACTGGACCCCCCTCCGTCCCCCACCCCCGCGCCCCCCCTCCACCGCGCCGGGCCCACTGCACCCCTGTCCCCCGTCCCCCCCCGCCGTCCCCCGCCCCCGTCCACCGCGCGGGGCCTACTGGACCCCCCTCCGTCCCCCACCTCCGCGCCCCCGCCCCCGTCCACCGCGCGGGGCCTACTGGACCCCCCTCCGTCCCCCACCTCCGCCGTCCCCCGCCCCCGTCCACCGCGCGGGGCCTACTGGACCCCCCTCCGTCCCCCACCCCCGCGCCCCCCCTCCACCGCGCCGGGCCCACTGCACCCCTGTCCCCCGTCCCCCCCCGCCGTCCCCCGCCCCCGTCCACCGCGCGGGGCCTACTGGACCCCCCTCCGTCCCCCACCCCCGCCGTCCCCCGCCCCCGTCCACCGCGCGGGGCCTACTGGACCCCCCTCCGTCCCCCACCCCCGCGCCCCCCCTCCACCGCGCCGGGCCCACTGCCCTGAGCCGCCTCCTCCCCCAGCCCTCCAACGTCCTCCTGGACGCCAACTGCCTGGTGAAGGTCTGCGACTTTGGCCTCGCCCGCTCCCTGGGCGGCCTCCCCGAGTGCCCCGAGGGCCAGGCCCTGACGGAGTACGTGGCCACGCGCTGGTACCGGGCTCCGGAGGTGCTGCTGTCCTCCAGCTGGTAACGCCCCTCCTTCCCGTCGCCACCTCCCCAGCAGCCGCCACCCCCCACCAGCTGGTGACCTCACCCGCCCCTTCCCAGCACCGGGCCCCGCCCCCTTGAATGGCCTCGCCCGCGCCCCTCTGCCCAGGTACACGCCGGGGGTGGACATGTGGAGCCTGGGCTGCATCCTGGGAGAGATGCTCCGGGGGAAGCCGCTGTTCCCCGGCACGTCCACCCTCCACCAGCTGGAGCTGATCCTGCAGACCATCCCGCCACCGGCCCAGGAGGGTGCGTGCAGGGCCACTGGGCGAGGGCACGAGGCCCTGGGGAGGCGGCCGACAGGCCAGGACTCAGGGGCAGGATGCCAGGGGTCCGGAAACCTCGGGAAGACGGGAAAAGGGGGGAGCGGATGGGGGTGTCAGCGAGCAGCTGTGCAGCCTGCAAGGCAGGCAGGGCCTGGCCACAGGGTTCAGAGGGTCCAGCCGGGCAGGGCAAGAGGGCCAGCCCTCTGAGTGGTGCAGGGCAGGGCAGGGCCCACACGGCTGGGCTGGGGGAGGCTGGGGGAGGAGCTGGAAGGAGGCAGTGGTGGGCGTGGCTGGGTGGGCGGGGTCCTTCCTCTTCCCGGAGGGAGGGGGGCCAGAGAGAGGCAGGACCGGGTGGGGGGGGCCCCATTCTCTCCCCAAGTCTTCACTCTCCTGCATGGAGAGGCAGGCGTGTGTGCGTGGCCGCCTGGGGAAGGTTTGCACATCCCGATGTTCCAGGTGGGAGCTGCCAGGCAGCCCAAACCCAGAGAGCGGTCACTCGAGGGGCCAGAGGGATGGCTGGACCCAGACCCCCGCCCTCCTTACCTCACACCTCTGCCCCTCGTCCCCCCCAGACCTACTGGCTCTCGGCTCAGGCTACGGAGCCTCAATCCTGCAGCACCTGGCGGCCGGGTGAGTCAGGGCTGGGCCTGGACTCCTGCAGCTTCCCGTGTCCCTGCTGAGCTGGCCAGACCCCAGCCCGGCCCCGCTGGTCACGCTAAAGAGGGCTCCAGGGGTGGACAGGAGGGGACCGGAAGTAAGGCCCGGACCTGGTGACCACCCCAGGCTGCCTGCGTCCTGAATGGGTCGAGGGGGTCCAGAGACAGTCAAGTGGGGTTCGGCAAAGGGTGGAGCCTGGGCCGCAGGTGCGGCTGTGGGGGGCCCGGACCGGACAGGACGGGACTCGTGGCCCCGCAGGCCCAGGCAGGCGCTGGACGCCCTCCTGCCCCCGGACACGCCCCCTGAGGCCCTGGACCTCCTGCAGCGACTCCTGGTGTTCGCCCCTAACAAGCGGCTGAGCGCGGCCCAGGCCCTGCAGCACCCCTACGTGCAGAGGTAGGGGGGGCCTGCCGCCCGCCAGTCCCGCTGCCCCCCAGGCTGTCGGGGAGGCTCATGGGCCGCAGCCCCGGCCTCGCCCCCTCCCGTACCCGCCTCGTGGGCTCCCGCAGGTTCCACTGCCCGGCCCGCGAGTGGGCGCTGGAGGCGGAGGTGCGGCTCCCGGTGCACGAAGGAGTCCAGCTCACGGCCCCCGAGTACCGCAGCCGCCTCTACCAGGTGCTCCGGGCGCGGCCCCCACCCGCCCGCCCCCACCGCCCGGGCCAGCCTGGCGCCGCCCGCGCCCCTCTGAGCGCCTCCCTCCCGCAGATGATCCTGGAGCGCAGGGGCGGCAGCCGCCCCCCGAGAGAGAAGGGCCAGGGGGACGCCCAGGTGCAGGCCCCGGGGGCGGAGCTCGGCGCCTCCCGGCCCCAGGCGCGCGCGCTCCAACTCATAGCCGCGCCCCCGCCGCCCGTGCAGGACCGCGGGCACAGGCCGAAGAGCAGCCCCGCGCACGGTGCGTGATGTGAGCGGCGGACCCCAGGTGTGGGACCCCCCCTGTCCGCGCGCAGACTCCTCACCCCGGGCTGACATCCGACCCACAGACGCCCCCGGCGGAGTCAAGAGCGTCCCCAGGCAGAACTCGGCGCCCCCGCTCCTGCCGGCGCCCCCGCTCCTGCCGGCGCCCCCGCTCCAGCCGGAACCCCCTCTCCAGCCGGCGCCCTCGCTCCAGCCTCCGCCCCCGAGAGGCCGGGGGAACGGGGAAAGGCCCCTCGGGGCGACGGCGGAGCCCCCCTCGTGGGTAGGTGGTGTAGGGTGGGCACGGGAGGACCCTCCGCGGTGCCTTCCTGGGGCGCACAGCGCCGGCCGGTGGTGACCCCCTGACGCGTGCCTCCCAGGCGAAGCCCCGCGCCCAGGCAGCGCCCTCGCTGGCCTCACAGGCCGCCGCGCAGGTGGCCGTCCAGGCTCTGATCCGGAACAACCGGGACCCTGGCCCAGGGGCCGGCGCGCGACGGGTGAGCCCGCCCCCTCAGCCCTCCTCCCTCCGTGTCCCCCTCTTCTCGCCCCTCCCCTCCCTCTTACCAGGACCCCCGACTTCGCGCAGGTCCCTCTGGGGCGTCCCGGGGAGGCCCGGCCGGGCCGGAGGATGTTCAGCGCCTCGGCCTCGCAGGGGGCCCAGGGGGCCGCGCGGGCTGCGCTGGGGGGCTACTCCCAGGCCTACGGCACCGTCAGCCACTCGGCGCTGGGCCGCCTGCCCCTGCTCCCCGGACTCGGCCACAGGGCCACGGCGTGTGAGCCTCGCTCCCCGCCCGCGCCCCCACCCCGCGCCCCTCCCTAGTCCCCGCCTACTGTCCGCGGATTTGCCCCCCAAGTCCCGCCACCCCCTTTGCTGGGCCCATGGGAGTCCCAGGAGGTTTGTCCAGAAGCGCCCCCTCCAGCCCCATCACCTTCTCCAATAAAGTCCTGTCTGTCCCCAGCCTGCGGCCAGTCCTTCCTCCTCAGGGACCCAAGTCCCCGCACCCCTTTCCTGGAGCCCATCCCCTCTCAGACCCCCATCTCCCCAGCACCCAGCCTCTCCCTCAAGGCTCAGGGCACCTGAGGGGCCTGCCTGCGGGGAGCATAGGCTAAGGGTGCACTATGTAGTGAGGTGGTTGTATACATTCGGGAACGTGCTAGAAGATTCTGTGCTGGTGTTTTATTACCATCAAAATGTTAAGAATCACAGTGAGGAGCTGTGCCACTCAGCAAGACATGGGGGTGCAGACAGGAGGCTTTGAGGGGCCCAGCCACTGGCCTCTGGTGGCCAGAAGGGTCCCCCGTAGGCCCTCCTAAGCACCAGGGCACACGGAAACATTTGTCGGCAAACTCCAGCTCATCCAGCTCCACGTGACCTTTGCCACCCAAGGACAAGTCCTCGCCGTCATCCCTCCCTGGGCAGTTGCCTTTGTGCAGTGCCGTTTCTTAAACCCTTTTCCATCTGTGCGACTGGGACTCTTACACTTAAAAAACCAAAAGCTATTTGAGAAGAAATATCAGAAGCACTCACTTCACAAGTGCAGCACCTGTGGCGGGAGACTTTCCAAGCACTTGGTGCCAAAAGGTGTCATTTTAAACCCAGTCACTGCTGGTGAGGGTACAGGAAAGGTAAGCAGCATGGAGGGCAGACTTGGCACGTTGTGACCAAGAGGAGAGGATGCAGGGGACCAATGGGCTGGGGCTCAGGAGCCGCTAGGCCATCCTCTGCCCTCACCTGCACAGGTCAGGCGCTCCGCACCCAGCCCCTTTCTGACTGGCTGTGGCCGTCAGGGCATATGGGGACCCTTCACCAGGCTGGGGCCCCACACCATCCATCACTGAGGCTTGGTGCTGTCATCCTGGCCCAGGACCTTGCCGGAGAGGTGGCCAGGTCTGCTCAGGTCTGGGGGGGCAGGGCAGCCCTTCCAGGATCCCTTTGCCCCCCCCCCCCTCGCTGCTCTACCTCCCTGCATGGAGAGGATGGGCCCCCAAGCAAGCCGGTAGAAGGCAGATGGACCGGCAGGAAGTGAGCCTCCAGCGACCACAGATGGAGATGGAGATGGGAGGTCCTGAGGAGGTGGGAGGCCCAGAGAGAGGACGAGGCAGCCAGGAGACGGCAGAGGCAGCGGAGTGAAGATGGGGCGTAGCCAGGAGGGTGGGCAGAGGGGAACCCTGAGACACAGAAGCCCTGAGACGCGAGGTCCCCAGAGAACTGGGGATAAGGCACAAAGGGATGGGTCCCTGAGGTGCATGAAGGCCCAGAGGGGACCTGAAGCCCAGAGATGGTGGAGGCAGATGCCTAAGGAGGGGGAGGCGGGGCCTGGAGATGGAGGTGCTGAGCAGAGATGGGAGTGGGGGGAATAAGGCAGGGGGGCAGCGAGGGCTGCAGCCCCCAAACGGAGAGGCCAGGGCAGGCACGGGGTGAGCCCCAGGGGGGCCGAGCTCTGGCTGTGCTCATCCGGGTTCCTAGCTTCTGCGCCCGAGGACCGAGTGCCCTGCGGGCAGGCAGCAGGGATGCGGAGACCCCGGCCGGACCCTCACTTCTTGCTCTTGAACGTACTCAGGATCTTGGGCATGAACTTGCCCACCTTGCTGTCCCGGGCGTCCTCCTCGGCCGGGCCCTCCCCGGCGCCTCCGCCGGCCTCCTCCTTCTTGCAGAAAACCTCGAAGCGGCTGTACACGCGCTTCTCCTTGCGCATGCTCTCCATGCGGCGCAGCAGCCGGTCGCGCTCCTCGGCGCTGGCGGGCAGCGTGCGGCTCAGCCGGCCCTGGGCCCCCAGGCTGTCTGAGCGGAAGATCGCTGAACATTTGTCCTTGTCGGACATGTCAGGAGCCAGGCCACTGGCTGCCGGCGGGCGGCCCAGCTCCGGGCTGCTGTGGGCCGGGGCGGGGGCGGGGGCCCCGCGGTGCTTCTGGCCGTGGGCGCTGATCTGCTCCAGGATGGCTTTGGTGTCGTCCCGCAGGTTGCTGCTGTACAGGGCGTTGGCCGTGGCCGAAGCCGTGCGCGCCCGCAGACCCCGCTCCTCCCCGGCGGCAGCCTCCGCGCTGTCTCCCCGGCTCAGTGAAGGCCGTCGGGGGCTCTCGGGCCCCCGGGGGCTCTCGGGCTGCCCGTTCTCCTGCGGCGCCGGAAAGCCGCCCTCATTCTCTGCACGCCGCTCGCTCTTGGGGCTCAGCAGCTGCCGGAGGCGCAGGGAGCCCTTGCGCAGCACCTCCATGGGGCCAGTGGGCGTCTCCTCGGCGGGCCCGGCCTTCGGAGCCTCTCCCGAGAAGGGAAGGGTGAGGCTGCCCCGGCGCTCGGGCACGGGGGGCACTGGGCTGCCCCGGCGCTCGGGCACGGGGGGCACTGGGCTGCCCTTGCGCTCAGGGTAGGGGGAGGTGGGGCTCCCCTGGCGCTCAGCGAATCCTGCGGTCGGGCTGCCTCTGCGCGGGGGAAACCCAGGAGTGGGACTCCCCTTCCGCTCGGGGTAGGCGGAGGTGGGGTTCCCTTTTGGCTCCGATTGGGACGCGTCCACGGGGGAGCTGTCCTGCCCTTGCAGGGAAGAGGAGAGGCCCTGGTTCAGGAGGAAGCGGGAGGGCAGCCGGTCGGGGCCAGGGCCGCTCCGGCCCAGCGTGTCGAGCAACTGGGCGGCGGTGAGCGTGGCGGCGCCGGGCTGCCGCTCGGCCTCCTGGTGCAGCCGCTGCGTGAAGGAGTCACGGAGGTCGAGCAGGCAGCTCTCCAGGCTGCGCCGCTCGGCTGCCGCGTTTCCCGACACTGCCGCCTCCTCCCGCCATGCCTGGGACTTGACCGCTTTGCTGTGGCTGGAGGCGGTGACTGCGGTGGCCGGGGCGCCGCTGGCGTCGCGCGCTGGACCCTTGTACTTCTCCAGGAGCTCGGCCACCTTGGTGGAGGCGGCGGAGCGGACGGCCTCGCCCCCGGGGCCCAGCGCCTCGTGCACCGCCTGCTCCTTGTGCAGCAGCTGCACCTTTTCGGTGGCGGCCCCGCCTGCGCCCTCCGCCTGCGACGCGAAGATGAGCGAGGAGCGGAGCCGAGAGCTGCGCTGGATCAGCGGGTTCAGCCGAGAGCGGAACGAGTCCTGCGTGGCCAGGCCCGTCTCCTCCGGGCCCTCGCCGCTCCCGCTGCCGGAGCCCTTGGCCGGGAAGATCGAGGGCCCGCGGAAGGATGAGGGCAGCAGGTCCCCCGCGGTCGCCCGGCCCCCGGAAACCAGCACATCGTCATCGTAGGCCTCGGACTCCATGGGGCCCGGCAGGCCCTCTTCACCCGCGTCCTCCCCGTGGCGGCCGCTCAGGTAGGAGGCCAGGCGCCAGTGCCGCAGCCCCGCCCGCCCCTCCGGCCCCACCCTGCGCTCAGGCTCTGCCTCCAGCCCCGCCTCCGGGCCCAGCCTCGCCGCTGCCTGGCAGGGGAAGCGCAGGCCCAGGTTGGGGCGCGGCGCCCCACTGGGTTCCAGGCCCCGGGGCCCAAAGGCTGGGTCTGAGCCATGGCGGACCTCGCGCGACTCACTGGACGGCACATAGTCCAGCCGCTGGTGGGTGTCCAGGCCCAGCTCCGGGAAACGAGGCCCAGCGCCCAGCGCGAAGTCCTCGGGGTCTGCGAAGCCGGGGCGGCCCGCGCGCAGCTTCTCGAACAGGCCCTGTGGGCGCCCCGAGCCGAACTGCGGGTCCCACTGGTAATGCTGCTGGTAGAGCTGGTCGCGGTGGAAGTGGCTGGTCTGGAAGCGGAAGTCGTCCCCGTGGGCGAGGAACTGTCGGGACACCTGCCGCGCGGCCGCGAAGTTCTCCACGGCACCCGCGCCATCGGCGGCCGCGTAGCTGTGCCGCTTAAAGGAGTCCATCTCCAGGTGTCGGGCCTGGAAGAAGCCCCGCGGGCCTGCGAGCTCGGCCCCGGGTCCGGCCTCCGTGTCCCACCGTCGCGACTGTAGCCGCAGCCCGGTGTGCGGCTCCAGGGCGCCCCCGGGCATCCGCTGTGGCTCCTCCCGGCGGAAGGCCGACAGGAAGTGGCGGTCAGGGTCGAGGAAGGAGGGGAAGCCGAGGCCCTCTTCCCGGGCTGGTGGGAACAGGAGGTGCGCTCGTTTGGGGAAGCAGAAAGGAGTTGGCGCCCCGGGCATCTGACTGGCCATCAGAGGCCCGGCCCCGGAGTATGGAGCCAGGGCGTAAGCGTCCATGCGGGCCAGCGCCCCGGCCGAGGGCACCAGTGGCTCAGACTGTGCGAAGAGGATGCGGAACTCCTCGTCGAAACTGGAGACCAGCTCCCCCTGGAACACGTGCGCCAGGCTGCGGTGGATCTTCTCGAAGGACCACATGAAGCTGCGGGTGGGCGGGGCCAGAGTCAGGGGCGGGGCAGAGCCAACGGGGGCGGGGCCAGCGGGAGGGGCGGGGCTCAGCAGCCTGTGCCTGGGGTGTCAAGTCTGCAGAGATGCAGGAGGGGCGGCCGGCTGTGACCGCTACGGGAGGAGGCCCGGTGGGAGGGGCCGGGGCTGCGCACCTGTAGCTCCCGCTCATCACCACGGCGCAGTCCACCAAGAGGAACTTCTCCTTCACGTGGCCCTTGAAGGACTTGCCCGTGCGGCAGTAGTAGGTGGGGCCGGCCACGGTGCGCACCCGCAGGAACTGGGGAGGAGAGGCGTCAGGTATCGGCGGAAGGCCTTTCCCGCCTTCCTCTACCCCCCCCTCCCCCGTCACTCACATCCACGTTGTGCAGGTTGACGCGGCACTTGTCCGCCGTGTCCAGAAAGTGCTGCGCGTTCATCTCGTCCAGGAGAATGTAGACGGGGACGCGGCGCGCGGCGGCCTCCAGCACTTCGCTGAGGAGGTCCACGTCGGTGAACATGTCCATCACCACAGCCACCACCTGCGGGGCGGGCCAAGGACCAAGGGCAGAACCCTCAGCTGTCCCCACCGTCCTCGAACCAAGCCCAGGGGCCTCTGAATCACCCACAAACTGCAAAACTGCCACTGGCCATCCCAGGGGTGAGGGGTCCCGTGGGGGAATGGGGTCAGGAGGGCTGTCAGAAGGGGTGTAGGGCTGCTGGTCAGGTGGGTGGCCCGTGATGGAGCCCTAGACAGGCACAGGGCCTGCATCTGCTGGGGGTGGCTGCTCCCTCCTGGGCAGAGCAGGTGAGTGAAACCCTCGTAGTCCCACCCGCCCCACAGACGTCTGGACTCCCCTGACCCTTAGGCCGCGGACAGAGGATGGCCAAAGCATCTGATCTGCTGCCTGTCTCCCTGGTGTAACAGGTCCATTTGCTGTGGACCAACTGCCTGGTGAGGGTAGGAGCCCCAGCTGGGTCACGGGCAGGGTGGAGACCATTGTGGGACAGTAAGTCCAGGCCCGGAGGGGACTCAGCATCCCTGAGCTCCTGAGCACCGGCCATCACCACGGACAAGCAACCGAGGCAGAGGCAGCCTGCGGCCTGGGGCAAGCCAGCCCTGGGTGACCCTATAGGTGGCCAGGGCACCCTCGCTGCAGCTGCCCGCCCCCCGCCCTCCGGAGCTGCATGCTTCAGGTCCAGCTCAGGCCGTCCTGCCCACTGCCCCCTACCCCCTGCCCCAGGCCAGCGCACCTGCTGGGCAGAGCGGATCATCCTCCGAGCCTCATCCTTGATGCTGGGGCTGTCGGGGGGTGGTGGCTGCACCAGTGTGGTGACCTCCGTGCCCTGGAAGCCGAAGGTCAGGGGCCAGCCCAGGTCCAGCTCAGGCACCGCCTGGTCTGAGTTCATGGGCCAGTAGGTGCCCGAGGAGCCGTCCATGTCCACGTTGGGAGGGCTGCCTTCGGGGGGCTCTGGGGCAACATACTGTGGGGGCCGCAGGTGGCGGCTCACGTGGTCCAGCTCCTCAGGACACAGGAAGGCGGGTGCCCCCTCGGTTGCCAGGAAGTGGCTGTAGGCCTCGGGCCCGCCCTCCGCCAGCGCGTCCACTGCCAGGCGGTAGTACTCTTTGTAGTGAGGTGGCAGGTACCCTGGTGCCAGGGGGTTGTCGCCCTGGGAGGAGCTCTGGGAGCGACGGGCCATGTTGAGGCCGGGGGCCTGGGGGAGGGGCAGGAAGACGTTACCAGGGCTGGGGCACCGGGCCCACTGCCCCCCCCCCCCCCCATGCAGTGTCTAAGGGCCGGCAGGGGCCTCAGCTGGGCTTGGCGTTCGCCCAGGCCTGGAGGCCTTCCGGGCACTCCAGACCTTAGGACAGTGATGGCAAACCTGTGACACGCGTGTCAGAGGTGACACGCAAACTCATTTTTTTGGTTGATTTTTCTTTGTTAAATGGCATTTAAATATGTAAAATAAATATCAAAAATGTAAGTCTTTGTTTTACTATGGTTGCAAAGATCAAAAAATTTCTATATGTGACACGGCACCAGAGCTAAGTTAGGGTTTTTCAAAATGCTGACACGCCGAGCTCAGAAGGTTCCCATCACTGGGCTAGGATGTGCCCCAGCTGGGGGGCGGCAGAGGAGCCGGCAGCCTGTGCCTTGCTCCCCCAGGACCAGGACCAGGACCAGGGAGAGCCCGGGGCCCAGACTCCAGGCGGGACTCTGGCTGCACAGAGTCCCGCCCGCCCGCCCCCCTCAGGGTCCCTTCATAGCCTCGTGGCCCCGCACCCCTCCTGTGCTCCCTCTCCCCGTAACGTTAATGTGCTATGCCTGTCGGTATAAACATAATGCAGTCTGATGGGCATGTTGCTCTCCTGATTTTATGACAATGCTGTTTTGTGGGTCCCTGGTCCTGTGCAGAGAAGACAAGCCCAGTGGCCCACACCCCAGGCCACGCCCCTCCCTCCGCCCTCGTGTGCAGCTGCCAGGGTTGGCAGGAGAGCACACGGGGTCCAGGCGAGCTCAGCACAGAGCTGTCCCATTTGTCCAGCCAGGGGGGGTTAGGCTACACCCCACCCCACAGCCCTACTTCACAGATCTGCAGCCTCCTCGGCCCATGAGCTGAGTTCCGTCCCGGCCCAGCCCGTCTGTCACCACCCTGTTCCCGGCTTCCTTCAGGACAGGGTCGGAGCCCTTTGCTGTGACCATCAGGCCGTCTGTCCTGGGCTCGAATGAGCCTCTCCAACCACACTGCTCGCCAACCTCACCGCCTCCACGGCCCTGCCTGGCCAGGCGGGTCCCCTCCTCAGCTCCTCCACGTGGAGACCTGCGCCCCCCCCCCCCCCCCGCGCCTGCTGCTCCTGCCCAGCTCCAGCCTTGGACGTTGTGGTGGCCGGGGAAGCGGTTCTGCTAGTCGCCGCAGCGCGCCCTCCCCACACGCAGCCGGGTGAGGTGGACGGCCAGTGCTCTGTGTGCAATGACCTGGGAGCCCCTCGGTCCACGTCCCCTGGGGCGGGAGGTGAAGGAGCCTGTGTGTCCTTCAGGCATCGGCAGAGCTGCTGGCCCTCAGACAGCCCCGTTGTCCTCATGGCACCAGAACCAGACTGAGGAGGCCACAGGGGTCCTACTGTGCCAGGGTCCCGTCCCACGCAGAGGGGGGGCCTCACTATCTGACCACAGTGGGGGGGGGCCTCACTATCTGACCACAGTGGGGGGGGGCCTCACTATCTGACCACAGTGGGGGGGCCTCACTATCTGACCAGTGTGGGGGGGCCTCACTATCTGACCACAGTGGGGGGGGCCTCACTATCTGACCACAGTGGGGGGGGCCTCACTATCTGACCACAGTGGGGGGCCTCACTATCTGACCACAGTGGGGGGGCCTCACTATCTGACCACAGTGGGGGGCCTCACTATCTGACCACAGTGGGGGGCCTCACTATCTGACCACAGTGGGGGGGCCTCACTATCTGACCAGTGTGGGGAGGCATGTTCCCTGTTGGGGTGACACTAGGAGAGGGACTGACCCCTCTGGCTTCACTGGGAGGGGACACAGCACAGACTGCCCAGGCGTGTGCAGGGGGGTTGGGGGTCCCATGGGGGTCAAGAACCTTCCATCAGGTAGGACTGGGGGGGGGGACCTGCTCCGTTGCTGGTTTCCTTCCTGGGGTCCGCACACCCCTTAACTGGGAACGGAAGGGAGCCATTCCCCAGCCGGAAATGAACCCCAACCTCGTGGCTCCCCACACACCTGCCTCCCGACGCCCGCCCTCAGGGAGGGAGGGGTTCTTTCCCACTCGGCCCATGACTCAGCAAGAATCAGCTCGGGCTGACCTCTGACCTCCGACACGGCCTGGCAGTGTCCAGGGTCCCCGGGATCGGTGGACTCCTGTCAGGTGACCGTGACATCCCCAACACCCCGCAGCAGGAGGGAGGGAGGGCGGGGACCCTGGGCCAGGTATGGAGGGGGCCAGGAGAAGGGTCCCCGGGAAGGAAGGGGGGCAGGAGGAGGGTCCCCGGGAAGGAAGGGGGGCAGGAGGAGGGTCCCCGGGAAGGAAGGGGGGGCAGGAGGAGCCCAGAGGTGTCTGGGACGGGGGTTCCAGAGGATGGGCTCGCCGACTGCAAGTCAAAGTGGTGTCGATTTGCAGTTTTCGGGGTGCTCGCCGCAGGAAGTCAGTGCACCCCAGGGAGGTAGCGGCTGCCTGGGCGAGTCCCATTTACCACCCGCCGGGGCCTGGGCGCCAGAACCGGCCTTCCGCCCGCCCCGCGCTCCGGTGGGAACCAGTCCGGGCTCAGGGCGGCGGGCGGGGCGCCCCAGGGAAGAGTCCGCCGGACCCAGCTCCCCCCTACCCCCCAACCCCCGACTCTACCCAGGCCGCGGGGCGGAAGCCGGGCAGGACCCCGGGGCAGGTCGGCCTGGGCCCGGCCCTTCCCACTCGGCTCCTCCCGGGCCCGCATCGTGCGCGGGCCTCGCGTCCACCCCGCTCACCCCGCCCGGCCCGGGGCGCGCAGCCCGCACAGGTGAGGTGCCGGCGGGGAGGCCGCCCGGGACCCCGCGCACCGACCCCGCCCCACCCCGCCGGGCCGCGGCCTCCGTGCCGCGCGCCGCCCCGCCCGCTCCCGCCGGGAGGGGGCTACCTGGCCAGGTGCGCGGGGTCCCGGGACGAGGACAGCAGGAGCCGACCGCCGCCCAGCGGCCTCGCGGTCCGGTCGGTCCGGCAGCCACTCCCTGGCGCGGCCCGCCCGCCGCGCGGCCTGATTCACGCGCCCGCCCCCGCCCCGCCCGCTCCCGCGCCGGCCTGCCCGGGCAGCACCTGGGGGCGGGGCGGCCCCACCCGCGGCGCGCCCGCATTCCTCCGCCCGCCGCCCGCCGCCCGCGGCCCCGCGCTCCCCCTGGCCCCGCCGCGCCCCCCGGCCCCGCGCCCCGGGGACCCGCGCCCCGCGCGCGGCGGCTGCCGGAATCCCGCGCCCCCATCAGGCCACCGAGGGCGCGCGGTGCCCACATCTGACCCCTCACCCTCGCCCCGGAAGTCGAGGCGGCGGGGACGTTCCAGCTCGGTCGCTAGGCAACGGGTCCGCCCGACGCGGGGGGCGGAGCTTCCGGTCTGGCTGAGGCTGGGGCGCTGGGGAGGCAGGTGAGGCCGGTGAGGCTGCGGGGCCGCGCGGAGCCGGGAGTGAGGCTGGGCCCGGGCCCCGGGAGCACACCGCGCCCCCCTCCCCGCACACGCTGATCCTGCAGGAACCGGGGCCCTGAATGCCGCAGCGAGAGGGAGCCCCGCACACAGGGGACCCCGCGCCACAGAAATGGCCCCCACACCTACACCATCCACGCCCCCACTCCTGGCCCCGCGGCCACAGGCTCAGGTGTTGTGCGCTCCCACAGGGACAGGGCACCCCTGCACATACCAGCCCTCTCCACGCACACGGGACCCGCGGGCACCAGCACCTGCACAACCGGAGCCCTATGTGCACACCAAGTCCCGCACGTGCCCATCGGCCAGGCACCCCCACAGTCCCCACACCAACAGGGGACCCCGCGCAATGACCCCTGCAGAACTCTGCACACAGATAAGACCCCACAGCAACACTGAGTCCCCCCCGACACCAGGGATCCTGCAAGTACTGACCACACGGGACGGGGGACCCCATTCACACCCCACAGCACCTCTGCAAGCACACACAGACGCCCTTAGCTGCCCCGAGGCACCTCAGTCCTGCCAGCGTCCCCCCAAACACTCAGACCCCCCCAGGTCCCCACCACCTCCCCTCCCTGTCACTGTGCCTGGGCCGCTTTCTGCGGGTCTCAGCCGCCTTCCCCCCACCCCTCTCCACCAGTCCCCGTTGTCCCAGGATCATCCTGTCCCCAAACACTCAGCAGCTCCCCACCGGAGCCCACGGGCGTGGGTCAGACCAGTGCCCAGGCCACAGCGCTGCCGTGAGTCACCTGGCTGTGGGGGGGGAGGGGACCCTGACCCAGCCTGGGGTAGGGGGGTGTCCCAGAAAAAGACAGGAACTTTGGGGTCAGCCGAGCAGATTAGGGAGAGAGGCGTGGCTTCCAGGCCCGGATAGAAGCAGCCTGGGCCCTGCTGTGCCTTTGACAGAGCTCGGCCTGCTGGCCGCCCAGTGGTTTGAGCAGAGCGATGGGGACGGGACACCCCACCCCGGGGGTTGTGGTCCGGGCCTGGGCCCAGAGGATGGAGCCAGGGGTGCAGGGGGCGGGGGGGGCGAGGGGGATGAGCTGTGGCCAGGTGACCTTGCTAGGCATCCCACCCACGTGCGGCTCACACGCCAATCACCAGGGCAGGCGGGTGCAGTGTGCGCCCACGGCCCCTGCCACCCTGACACCCCTCCCTGACCTCCCCTACCCGCCCTCAGGAGGATGAGCAGTAAGAAGGGGGGCCCCAGAGCAGTGTCAGGGAAGCGGCCATCCCCCCGGGGGGTCAAGCCCAGAGCCACTGCTGGTGAGTGAGTGCCCCTCCCAACCTCCAGGCCCCCCTCAGACCCTCACTTGTGAGACCCTCTCCGTGGCCACCCGGGACACCCCCCCAGAGGAGACCCTCTCCTCTGAGTTAGGGGTGGGGTGGTAGACTGAGGGCTCAGAGCTCAGGTGTCCACTCCAGGCCCTGGGGCAGGGGCAGGGGCCCGGGGGCCGTGTTCCGAGGAGGCAGGGAGCTGGGAAACAAGTTCTGGAACGGAGCAGGGTTTGCATCCATGTTGGCAAGTGACAGACTAAGCCTGTGTCCACTCTGACCCCCTGCTCCACGTCCAGGCTGCATGGCGACAGCTGGTCCCGGGCCCAGTCCTGCTGGGTCAGGAAGGACCCCTCGGCCATGCCCACCCCCGCTGGCTGCCACTCCCCTTCTCTGAGCCCGTCTTCTCTGTCACCACACTCATCCCTTCCAGGCTGCTGCTCCAGGTCCCCCAGCCCGGGCCTGAGGGGGCAGTGCTGGCTAAGAGGGGGCTTGCCCTGCTTCCCAGGGGCACCCTTTCTGCTGGGATTGGGCCTGCCGACGCCCTGGGACCCCAGGGGGCACCGAGGCCCTAGACCTGGCTGGATGGTGGCGCCTGCTCCCCAGGCCACACGGGGGTTGGACCCTGGTTCCCCCAAATGGCCCCAGCGTGGTGGAGGCAGCCACTGTCCCGGAACGAGGATGCTGGGCTCAGGCGCCGCTGGCTGCTTCCGCGGTCAAGCCTGGGACGCGCACGGCAGTAAACAGGCGGGCAGGTGCGCCAGGGAGCTATGCTGGGGGCGGTGACCTGCTGGTTGTCCACCTGGCTGCCACCCTCTCCCCCCAACCCTGCCCTGGACAGCACCTGGCCAGGTGCCTGCAGCCTCTACAGGAACACCTCTGCCTCAGTTTCCCTGAACAAGCGCCCTGCCTGGGCACCCCTACCTGACCAGCATGGCCTGAGAGGGCATGCTGTCGCCGGGCCTTCCCATGCCCTGTGCAGTGGGCATCAGCCTCATGTTGCAAATGTGGAAACGGGTCCACCGGTGTCCCGCGGCCAGCTGGCCTCCCAGCCCTCTGCAGGTGCCTGTGGGTCACTGGCACGCTCAACACCCCCGCCCCCTCAACTGTCGGTGCCTCCGCCACCCACGTGCCCCTCCAGGCCTTACCTGGCCTTGGGTCTGCAGCACCTCAAGGCCCTCGCTCTGGAGCTGCTCCAGGGCCATGGCCAGCTCCAGCCCCTCCATGCGCACCCAGGCCTGCTCCTCCTGCAACTGCTGCAGCCACAGCTGCTCCTCCTGCCACAGCTGCTCCCGCCACAGCTGCTCCTCCTGCCACAGCTGCATCTGCAGCTGGACCTGCCGTCGGCGGTCCGCCAGCAGCTGCTGCTCCTGGGCCAGGCACAGCTGGACCTCGTGGAGCCTCAGCAGCTCGGCACCCAGGCTGCGCGTGCGGCCCCCCGGCCGGCCGTCCTCCATGTCCGCCGCGGGGACTGGTACCAGCTCGGACCCCGGAGCAGCAGCCGGCACTGGCCTCTCCGCTGCCTGTGGCTGCTCTGGCCTGGCCACCTGGGGATGCCCCGGGGGAGCTGGCTGGCTACCGGTCACGTGCCCCGAAAGGGCCACCCCTGTCTCGTCCAGAGGGCCCCCTGCGTCGGGGGGCGGGGGCTCGGCCTCAGGGCCCTGCTGCCCCGGAGCCTGCTGTGCCCGGCCCGCCCTCCTGGCGCGGGGCTTTCGCGCTCGGCTCCGTCGCCCAGACATGGTCCGGATCCGGCGTTGGCTCCCAGGGGCCCTGGATCCTGGGGGCCCAGAGGGGGCCCGGGAGACGACAGTGGGCCCCCTGAGGCGGCTGCCCTGTGCCCGCCCTGCCCCTTGGCTGGTGCCCACGGTGCCACAGCCCCAGCCCTGGCTCTGCCTGTGGGCCTCGCGGGCGACTCGGGGGCCGAGCCACGCGGGGAGTTTATAGGGACTCGCGGCCGCGGCTCACCGCGCGGAGGCTGACTAAGGCGCTGACACAGGGCGCAGGACTTTACGGGCCACGGGCCTCGCTGGCCAGACGGGGAGGGCGGCTGAGAGGAGCCGGAGGAGGTGACTCGGCAGCCAGACCGCGGCTGGTGCAGGGCGAGTCGAGTCCTGCCCTGGGCGGGCACCCCCACCCCATCCCAGCCCTGGTCTTGGGGCTCAAACTCCAGCCCAGCGGGCTGGGCGCTGCATCCCTGCGACTGACCATCCGCCCGGCCAAGGCCCTCACTGGCCACAGACCATCCGACCAGACCAGCAGGGGGACGCGGGCCGGCCACGCTGAGCACGCCCCCCTCCCCCACCCCCCCAGCTGCCAGCGCCCTGCCTTGCGGGGAGGACAGACCTCTGCCCGGCCCCGGACGCTCTCGGGCCGGCTGCCCGGTGGCTGGAGGCAGATCCTGGGCCTGGAAAGGCTCCACCCAGTGGCCTGAGATGGGCAGCAGGAGGCCCCGCCCACCTGGGGTGCAGGGGTGCAGCAGCTCCGCTGTCCTGGTTGGGGGTGTGGCTGCCCTGCCACCGACACGGGGCCCTGAGGAGCTCCCCAGCCTTTGTTTGGGGGGACGCGGGCCTATGTTCCTGCGTCCCCTGTGCTTCCTGTCGGGAGGGGGCTCCCCACGGCTTCCACCCCAGCGTTTCCCCAGCCTGGGGCCGCTGACTCACCCGCACGCCCAGGGCCCGTCCCAGCAGCTCTGCCACACCGGCCTGACTGGTTTGCCTGGCGCAGCCCTGCCCACACCCCACCCCCAACCCCCTCGGCCTTTGCCCTGAGACGGGGAGACAGACTGCAGCCACCAAACCTGAGCGCGGGGGGGGGGGGGGGGGGGGGGGGGGACACAGGAAAGGGGAAGGGGCTCTGGAGGGCAGTGGCCCTGGCTGGGGCAGGGTTGAGGGGAGGCGGGCAGCGGGCGCCCCCTGAGGCATGGCCAGGGGCAGGGCTGTCCTGCCTGGGGCACTGTTGGCGCTGCCACCCCCGCGGGGCGCGGGGCCTGTGTGTGCTGCACGGACGCGGCCTGGTCGCTCGTTAAAGCTGCTGCACAGTCGGGTGCCCCTAACAAGCAGGACACAGCTGCCCACAGGAGGCCCGTAAACGCCTCCGAGGCTGAGGGGGTGGGATGGGTCCACACACCAACCTCACTGACGCCCCTCCCGCCCCCCCCCCAAGCCAGGGGAGAGCCGCCAGTTATGGAGGAAGACTGGCTGGTGGGCGAAGGGGCCCCGCAGCTGAGAGCCCACGCCCACCGGCCGCCCCCGCCAGTGAGGACGGGAGGACTCAGGGCGGGCCGTCCCGGCTGCTGTCGTGTGGTCTGCGTGTGTGCATGTGTGTGCACCCGTGTGGGTGTGCATGTGTATGAGCACGTGTACATGCACGAGCGTGCATGTGAGAGAGCATGTACATGTGCTCGCGCGAGAGTGTGCACGTATGTGTGATGTGTGAGCACATGTATCTGTGCGTGTGCGCACGTGTACATGCGTAGGCATGCGTGTGAGCGTGCATGTGTGTGAATGCCTGAATGGGCTCATGGGCGAGCAAGTCCCTCCCAGTAGCAAGTGGGGAGCCTTGTCCTCCCTGCTTCCCCCGCCCCGGCCCCTGCTTTTCCGTGAGGCCTGGGCTGGGCAGGTGGCACCGATCCCTCCCAGGGGTGCGGCCTCTCGGGGAGCCACCTCCCTTCACCCTCCTGCGCCCTCTTTCCACCCGGAACAGGGGAGTCCTGGTGTCGGCTCTGGGTGCTGTCGCCCTCCAGTGGCAGGAGCCGCCCTAGGGAGGCACCGGGGACGGGAGCTCCCCTTCCCGCTTGGCCGCCCGTCTGCCCCCCCGCGGCCTCCACAGCCGGATCCCCCGAACCCTCCTCCGCTGCTCCAACCCCAGCGCACCCCCTTCCTGCGAGTCCGCCCGCGGCTGCTCCCCGTGACCCACGGTGTGTTCCCGGCAGCCCCGCCCACGCCGGCCCGTCGGCTCTTCCTGGCCTCTGCTCCGTGTGCTTAGTCTGTTCTCTGCGGAGCAGCCGGTCTCGGGTCTCGGGCACATGTTACCCTTCTGGCCGGTGGCCGGACCTCCAGCAGCGCCCGTCACCTTTGCCCCCGAGGCCCGGATAGGGAGCCTGACCCTGACCGGAGGACGGGGGACGCCGAGGTCTGTGACGTCCTGACTGCTGCTTTTATTTTTAAAATCCTCACCTGAGCATGTGCTGACTTTTCAGAGAGAGAGAGAGTGCGCGCGGGCGCCATGGCGACGTGAGGGGGACACTGATTGGTCGCCTTCCCGTATGTGTCCGCGGGGATCAGCCCACAACTGGGAATCGAACCCGAGACCTTTCAGTGCTCGGGACGACGCTCCAACCAACCGAGCCCACGCCAGGGCCTGACTGTTGGTTTCCTAAAGGCTCGAATGCCCGAGGTGGGCCTGGCTCCGGGCTGGGGTGGGCACAGCAGGGGCAGACCTGCAGCTGGGGCAGTGCCCAGTGTCTTAGGGGTGCAGTCCCCTGGGGTCTGTCCCTGCCTGAGGCCATTTTTTCACCTTTCCTTGGTTTCCAACCGACGTCCTCCCCGGGCTAGAGGCTCAGGGGGCTGGGGGCTCCCGCTGTCTGGGATGGGACCGCCTGGGACTTCCTGCCCAGACCTGGGTCTTCCCCTCCTGCTGGCTCTGCGGGTGGCCGGTGGCCTGTGGCCAGGCTGCTCTGGCTGGGCGTGTGGATTTAGAACATGTGCCCTTCAGGGAGGCCGGCAGGGTTAGGGTTAGGGGCCCTGGACCCACAGCTGGTTCCCCACCCAGGGCCAACCCGGGAGGACCAGGCGGCCACCGTCATCCAGTGCGCCTTCCGGCGGCACCTGGCGAGGAAGGAGCTGGCCCTCCGGCAGCAGAAGCACGGGGAGTACCTGGAGCAGATGGAGAAGCTGCAGAGAGAGGTCAGGCCCGAAGCCGTGGGAGTGGGGCCTGGGCTCCGGGTACCGACTCATGACCTTGGGGCTGGGGGCCATGACCTCGGGGCTGGGCGCCATGACCACAGGGCTCCCCCCCCCCCCCCCCCCCCGCAGGCCTTCCTGGCCCTGGTGCGCCGCGAGCGGGAGCTGGTGCGGCGCCGGCGGGAGGCGGAGGCAGAGGCGGAGCGGCGGCGGCAGGAGGAGCGAAGGCGCCAGGAGCGCCTGCTGGACGCAGCCTTCGACGGGAACCTGGGGGAGATCGTGGCTGTCCTGCGAGAGGCGCGCGGGGCGGGAGGCGCGCAGGGAGGGGGCGCGCGGGGCGGGAGGCCCGCGGGGCGGGGGAGCGCGGGGCGGGGTCCGAAGGTGACCCGAGCTGATGTGGGCGCAGGTGGAGGAGGTGCTGACGCGCGAGGGCGTGGGCCACGACGAGGCGGGCCTGGCGCGGCGGCGGCAGCGGCGCGTGGCCCTGCTGGAGTGCGAAGACTCGGGCGGGAACACGCCGCTGTCCGAGGCGGCCGTGGGCGGGCAGCCCCGGGCCATCCAGCTGCTGGCGGAGCAGGGCGCAAGCCCCAACTGCAAGGTGGGCGCTGGGGCGGGGCCGGGGCGGGCGGCGGGGCCGGCGGCGCGTGGCTCAGGGTGGCCTTCCGCAGGGCGCCTTTGGGCGGACGCCGCTGTACAGAGCCGCCTTCGGGGGCCACCTGGAGGCCGTGGAGGTGCTCCTGAGGCTGGGAGCTGATCCCCGGGTGTACGCGGACGACGGGAGCACTCCGGTGCAGGTGGGAGCGCCTTCCCCAAGGGCTGGGACTGGTGGCCTCGCTTTTTTTTAAAAAAAAAAAACCACACATTTTTATTGATTTTTAGAGAGGAAGGGAGAGGGAGAGAGAGGTAGAAACGTCAATGAGAGAATCATTGATCGGCTGCCTCCTGCGCGCCCCACACTGGGGATGGAGCCCGCAACCCGACCGGCAACCAAACCTGCCACTTCGGGTCCCTCAGCCGCTGAGCCACGGCCGAGCCCACGTCCTTCATTTCTTTAAGCGACTCTGACTTGCACGCAGGCCACCTCCATCCAAGTGCTCTGTCTCCCAGTGGGGCCCCAGGCCTTTGCTCAGCGGGGGACCCCAGGCCCGGGGTGCCCCCCTTCCGCCCCTGGGCCCTCCACTCTTCTCTTTACTATCAGGGACGGAGCTTCTGGCTCCACAAAGGGAAGGAGGCCTGGAGGGCAAAGGGCCCGGCCCCCTGAGGAGAAGGGGGAGCGGGGACGTGACAGGGGTGCGACCCAAAGGAACTCTGGTGACAGTGGTGGTGGCTGCACACGACTGGTGACACACACACACACACACACACACACACGCGCACGCGCGCGGATGCGGTGCGTGAGAGCCATCCTGCGGGAGACTTGCTAAGGGCACGCGGGAACCCTACTATCACCGCCACTTCCCGGAAAACTGTCATTGTTTCCAAATAAAAGTTTAATAAAATGACTGTGAGGCAACAGGAACATATACCCACAGCGAAGAGCAAACGCAATCCCAAATGACAGCAGTGACACAGGTGGTGCAGTTACCCGCCTACCCCGCAGCCCCTTGTTCACAAGGTGCCAGTCCGTGCACTCAGCGCGACATCTTTCACCCTCTCGGCCATCGTGAACCACCCTGATCTATAATTACTCTATAACCTATCATTATAATTTAGTTAATTCAAACATCCATCCCTCCATTGATACACACACTGCTGCTGTTGACAGAAGGTTCTGGGAAAGCAGGGACCGTGTTGAGTCCACAGCTCTGTTCTCCAGTGTCATACATCTTGGTTGTCACAGAAAAGAGACCCAAAATTGTTTTGAACCTGCCCGGCCAGTGTGGCTCAGTGGCTGAGCATAGACTTATGAACCGGGAGGTTGCGGTTTGATTCCTGGTCAGGACACATGCCCGGGTTGTGGGCTCAAGCCCCAGTGGGCCTCGTGCAGGTGGCAGCCAATCAATGATTCTCTCTCATCATTGCTGTTTCTATCTCCCTCTCTTCCTCTCTGAAATCAATTTAAAAATATATATTTTATATATAAATTAAATGAACAGTACAGCATGTTCTCCCAGGCTGCATAGAACCAGCCCCTGACAGGACCCCGTCACTAGGTGGCCTCGCTGGACGCCGTGGCCAGCGTGCTGCAGGCCTGGGACGTGAGCCTCACGGAGGCCATGCTCCAGAACATGGAGGCGGAGCGGCAGCGCCGGGCCCAGGAGGCCGAGCAGCACCAGGAGGCGGAGACCAAGCGGTGCGCCTGCGGGAGGAGGCCCCCCAGCCACGACCCCCCCAGGAGATGCTCAGACCCGGCTGTTCCCTCCCACCGCAGCCTGAACCTCAAAGTGCAACAGCTGGCTAAGGAGCAGCAGCAGTGCCACAAGGAGGTGAGCGCCGCCTGGGAGGGAGGGGGTCGGGGTGGGGGGCCAGGTGGGGAGAGGAGCGGCTGGGAGGAGGAGCTGAGGGGGAACCGCAGGGCCGATGGTCTGAGGCCCGGGGACAGCCTGGCGCCGCCCTCCCGCAGCTGCATCAGGCCTACTGCGAGCTCAACCGCAGGATCACCGCGCACCACAAGTGCGAGCGGAGGGGCGCGGGCAAGACCGAGCTCACGCTGCAGGTGGGACCCTCCCTCCAGGAGGGTGGGCTTGTCTTCCCCCCCAAACACGGCCCTCCAGTTTTGGGGGCGGGGCGGGGCGGGGCGGGGCCTTGGGAGCTGCGCTCCGAGCTCCTGTGCCCCCTCCGCCCCCCTCCCCCAGGCCGTCAAGGACGCGGAAGCTCAGGTGGACCGGCTGCGGCAGGAGGCCCAGAAGGCGGAGGAGACGCTGGCCCTGGCGAGGCTGGAACTGCGGGAGCAGACCCAGGAGGGTGGGCGGGGCTGGAGGCTGGAGGCTGGAGAGGCCAGGCCCAGGGAGGGCACCCGCGGGGGAGCTCCGGTTGCCCCCCTTCTGTCCCCGCAGGGGAGGAGGAGTTGCCGGGGCTGAAGTGCCAGGTCACCGAGCTGCACGACGTGCTAATGAAGGACGTGGGTGACCGCATCCGCGCCGACGGCCGGTCAGTGGCCCGGCTTGGGCGAGGGCCAAGCTGAGGGTTCGGGCAACAGCGGTGACCGATGGCCGCCTCCAGGTGGCCTCTTGTCATCGATCCCTCAGGCCAGGCGGCCACTTTCCTGCGCTACCAGGACACCAACTATGTGGACACGGTGAACCCAGACCACATGCAGCCCGAGAGGATTCGGTTGGCGCTTCTGGGGGCACTCAGGTGAGGCGGTGGGAGCTGGGGCACACGGGGTCCGCCCCGTTCCACCTCACCGCTCGCCCTGCCCCCCAGGTACGGGAAGCCGCTGGTGTTCGACCTGCGGGAGGTGGACCTGTTCCCCGCGGTGCAGCGGCAGCTGGAGGCGGTGCAGCAGGGCCTGGCGCAGGAGCTGCTGAGCCGCAGGCTGCTGGAGCAGGACCGGTACCTGTCGCTGCTGAGGCCCACGGACGGGCCGGAATACGGCCCCACCCAGTTCCAGGAGTCCCGCCTGGCGCAGTTCCGCCTCTTCTTTGTCACCCAGGTTCGGTGGCCCCCAGCTGAGCAGTTGCAGGTCCTGCTCCCGGTGCAGGTCCAGCTGCCCAGCGGAGGCCTTTAGCACCAATAAAGCAAAGCCCCGGACCACCGCTGTGCCTGTGCCGAGCGGGAGGGAGCGTGCGCGGCCCAGACGCCTGGCCAGTGGGAGCCCAGCCTGAGGACACTGGTTTGCAGGACTTGGGGGTGCTCCTGCCTGGAGGTGGGCGGGCCAACCAGTCCCTCCAGGAGCAGCAGAGTGTGGGGGAGACGGGGAGCTCGGGGACCCGCCCCAGGGGCCCCAGCCTTGGAGGGCAGAAGGGGTGGGTGTGGGTGTGTAGACAGGCAGCCAGAAGGTAAAACGTAGTCAATTTTATTTTCCTTAAACCACAAAATAGAGTCTTTGGTTGTACAAACATCACTAGTTACAGTCTTGCCAAGAGGTCCTGGCTGGGGAGGGAGCTGTTAGTCGGAGGCCAGAACTCCTGAGGGGTCTCTAAAACGCTAACACCCAGGTTAAAAGACTTGGGGCAAGGGTGGTGCTGGTGCTGGCAGGGCCCCCACCCCAAGTCCGGGGAAGGGCCCCACCCCTCTAGGAGGGCACTGGACCCAGGCCTCGGCGCCCTGGCCGCAGGGGGCGGCGGCTGCTGCACAGGGCCATGTCCTCGGGGCCCACGGCGTCCGGTGAGGGCCTGCCCAGAAGCACCAAGGCCACCTCTCCATCCTCCTCCTGCAGGCCTGGTGGGCAGAGACACGGGAGGGAGGGAGGGAGGGGCTAGGGGCCCAAGCACCCCCACCCCCACTGGGCCTGGCAACTCACCAGGGCTGGGAGATGGCTCCAGGGACCTCAGTTCCTCTGCAAAATCTGGGGACTGTGTGGAGAAAGGGCTGTGTCAGGTTCTGCCCAGACCGTCCTGAAACCACCCAAGAAGCCTGGGTGGGGAGGCCCCACACCCAAGGAGCAGGTCTGGCCCCAGAGAGAGACAGGGAAGGTCTGGAGGCAGGACAGGGCGGGGGAGGCCCAGGCGGAGGTGGCAGCAGCTACGGCCTGTCCACAGGGGCCAGGCGCCTGGTACCTGCATGTCATAGACAGGCCTGGAAGAAGGCAGGGCGGCGAACACCCTGTAGTCGAACTTCCTCCCAGACAAGGCCTTGAGAGGACAGCATGAGGGGAGAGAGGCAGAGGCAGAGAGCTGAGAAGAGGGTGGGGGGTGCAGCCTGGATCCCGCCCTTGCTGCAGGGACGGGGGCGGGGAAGGGGAGGCAGCTTCTCCTCACCAGACGTCCCGGGGAGGTGCTGGTCAGGGGGCCGAGGTCTGGGGGGACAAGAAACGGGTGTTGGGAGAGGTCCGCACTGCAGGCCAAGCCTGACTCCCCTCGGGCACACGGACCTTCCAGGGGGGTGGGTGATGGGGTGGGCGCAGGCGAAGGGGCCTCGGCCAGCCGCTCCAGGGGCCCCCGCTTGCTCCGGCCGTCCTGGGACTTGCTGAGAACCATCTGTGCGCGGAGGGCGTCCTGCTCCAGGGACTTCATCCTGCGAAGGAGCGGGAGGCGGGTGGGCGGGGCAGCGGTGGGGCCGGTGGGCGGGGCAGCAGTGGGCGGGGCCGGGGGGCAGGGCCTCACCTGGCCGCCCTCCACAGCGCTCGCTTCTCAGCCTCCAGCGCGCGGCGCTCGGCAGGGGACAGGGCCCGCTCGGGCACCGGTAGCTCCGGGCTCTGCACGCGCAGCCGCTCCTGATGGCGCCGTTCAGCCTTGGCCGTTCGCACCGGAGCGCTGCTTCCCAGGGGGGACGCCGGGACCAGCCTGGGCCGGGGGGGAAAGGACAGAGGGCCAGGTGGGCGGGCGCTGGCGCCGGGAGGGGGGGCGGGGACAGTAGGCACTGGCCCCTCCAGGCCTCACCCTGCAGCAGGGGCGCCAGCCCAGGGAGGCTCGTCCTCTGGCTCCTCGCTGTCCGGGGCCTCCCCGTCCGCCAGCTCCGCATCAGCCGCCTCCCGCAGCATCTGCGCCCTCTTCTGCTGCAGCTTCCGGGCTGGGGGGGTGGGGTGACGTGGATCAGATGGGTGGGGGCGCCCAGCCCCTGCACCACCCGACGCCGCTAGCTTCCAGCTCACCTTCTTCCTCCTGCATCTTCCGCAGGTCGTCGGCTCCCACCAGGGACACGCGCTTGGGGGGGCCCTCGGCTTGGGGCACCCGCACCTCCAACTCAAAATACTTCTGCCGCTCGCGGAAGGACAGCTGCTCCGGGGAGGCGGTGGGGCCGGGCGTGCAGGGCTGCAGAGAGAGGTCTGAGCCAGGCTTCCTCAGTTTGCACCCCACCCACCCCACAGGCGGGCCTGGCTGGGGCTGGGGCGGGAGGGCCGGCACCACACATACTTGGGCAGTTGGGTCCTGGGGGGGGTGCGGGCCCGGCACAGCAGCGAAGGTCCGGTAGGCTCGCTTCACATCGGAGGGCAGCTCGTCCGGGGAGGGCGGGGAGGGGGGCTGGGGGAAGGCTCTCCTGAGCTGTGCTGGGACAGCTGTCTGGGCTCCAGCCACCACCCACCCACCCCACCACCCACCCGGCCGGCCCACAGCTGCTCACTCTGAGCTCCGACCTCCACCCCCGGCCCGCGGGTCAGGGCACTCACAGAGCAGGAATTGCCTCTGTCCCTGGGGGCCGGGGAGCCCCCTGGCCAGGCCTGAGCCAGTGGCTGGATCACCCCAGGTTTTGTCTGCAAAGGGCAGGGTCCAGAGGGAGGAACCAGGGGTTCAGGTCAGGGATGGGGGGTGGAGGGGAAAGAGAGAGATGGAGCCACGGTGGGAGCAGGCCGGTGCTCAGGTCCACGTGCAGCAGCACCAGGAGCGGGGAGGGGGGCAGGGCCAGGTGGGCCCAGGTGCAGGGAGGAGGCCATGACCACCAGCCGCAAGGCCCCAGGAGCTCCCTGCTCCACTGCCAGTTGGGTCTGGCCAAGAAGGTGCGTGGGCCGTGCCCTCCCAGAGCGACAGGTGCACCTGGTAGGTGCTGCCCCCTGCCCCACTTCCTGGAGGCCAAGGCGCAGGACACTCACCTGCTGGAGGCCGGGGGAGCGAGGAGTGTCCGCCATCTTCCCTCCAGCTGCCCCAGTTGGTACCTGGAGGAGCCAGGAGCCGGGTGAGTGGGGGGAGGGTCAGGCGGGGTGGGGGGCCCACAGGAGTTGGGGAGTGGGGTGCCTGCCTGGTGCAGAGGCTGGTCCTCAGCTCCCTGACCCGATCACAGCCCAAGGGGGGCCCCAGATGGGCCTGGACTGTGCGGCCAGCGCCAAGGCTTCTCCCCCAGGCTCCTCGCCCCCACGATGCTGGGAACAGAGGGCTTGGCCTCTGCTCTGCCCGCCGCCCCCCAGGTATCTGTGGCAGTGGGTGAGCTTCACGAGAGGTGGGGACGGACAGACCGAGAGGAAACAGGACAGAGTAGGGCTGGGGCGGGGCCGTGTGCTGCCCCACAGCTGCCCTCCCGGGGTCTCAAAGGCACTGGCGGCAGGAGGCCCACCCCAGCCGGCCCACAGCGTGCCCTGCGGTCGGAGGACACAGCCCCACCTGCCCTGGGGCCTCCTGCTCCAGGCTGTTCCTGGCCGAGGGCTGGCACCAGGCGATGCTCCCTCAGCCCGTCTCCCTGCCCCCGGTGCCACCCGTCACCACTCACGGTCCTCCGGGGCCCCAGTGGCGCTGGCTGGACACGGCCTCGGGGGTTATTTATGCTCTTGGGGAGGAGCCGGACCGGCTGCCCATCCTGCCCAGCGCCCCCGCCCGCCTCCGCCCAGCTGTCGGCTCAGCCTCCCCCAGCCCGGCCTCCACGGCTCCTGGCAGCTGCTCCAGCCTGTCCTCCATGTGGCAGCTTGTGCCGATCCCACCAGGACTGAGCGCTCCGGTGGCCCCCAGGGGCCTCTGCCCTGCCCAGAGCCGTGGGGGGGCCCCTCTGTCTGCAAGGGGCTCGGGCTCCCCCCACCAACTGCTCTGAGAGTCCCAGGGCCTTTGCAGGCGCCCCACCTCCGTCCCCAGGTATAAGGAGTCATAGCCACACAGCCACACGGCTTGGTTCAGTGATGGGGGACTGGACCGTGCCAGGCCGGGCGGCGGAGCTCCAGCCTGCGGGCCCCGACCCGGGTTCCCCTGGCCCCACCCGCTCCGGCAAGGGCCTCCCGCGGTCTCAGCCTGGTCCTGGGACAGGAACCTGTGGTCCCACCCAGCTCTGCCCTTCGGGGTCTCAAGTGAAGGGAGGAAGTGAAGGCAGGGACGGGACCAACAAGCAGGTGGGCAGTGGCCACAGCACAGGTTTCACGGGAGACACTGACCCTGTGCACATGCCAGCGCTGGGCCTGCCGTCGGGGCGTGGCCGGCCAGCTTCAGGCTCTCTGGGCTGCAGCCCTGAGAGCGAGCGGACACAGTGCTAAGGAGGGGCCGTGTCTGGGACGGAGCACGGGCGGCAGCTTTGAGGACCGTGGAGCGGGGTCTGGGACACGCTGCCCGCTCCCCTGGGCTGTGTCCCTCTCAGGGAGGACCCGCTGCCGGAGCTCAGAGCCGGGCCCGTGCGCAGGCGGCAACGGCCCAGCACTCACCGTGGCCTCCGGCCCCCACTGTGGCGTCTGTCCAGGCAGCTCCTTCTCCTGGGAGCAGAGCAGACGGCGGTCAGGACCTGCGGCCTCGGGCTCCCTGGCCCTGGGCTGCCGGCCGCAGGCGGCGCTGACCTTGGTGGGGCCTTCAGGGCTCAGCTCCCGGTCGATGGAGGAGACGCTCTCCAGGCTGTTCCGGCGGCCGATGCCAGCAAAGGGGTTGGCGATGACACCCGGGGACACCTAGGGGGCGAGGACACGCGTGGGGCCGTCCCTGGGTGACGGGCAGCACTGCTGGCCCAGGACACGGCCACATCCGTGGTGACAAGGGAGGCTCTGCCTGAGGGACCCGCAGCGGCTCTAGAAGCCCCCACACGTCAGGAGCAGGTGGCCCAGACCGTGGCCCAGACTGTGGCCCGGCGCTTGTCGTGCCCACAGCTCCCCCGGCCCCGGGCAGCTCCTCACCCGCAGGTGCCGGCACTGACCTCGGTGGGGGCGGCGCTGGTGTCGAAGCCGTCGCAGACGAGCACGGTGAGGGTGTCGCCCGCGCTGCGCAGCAGCTGCACGGCCTCGGCGTGCGTGAGGCCCAGCAGGCTCTGCTGGTTCACCTCCAGCAGCCGCAGCCCCACGTGCAGGCGGCCATCGCGCCCGGCAGCTCCCGCGGGGCTCACCTGCCGGGACACCAGGCCTGCGCCTCAGGACTGGCCACCCCGGCCGCTCGCCCGCCCCAGCGCCCGGCGGGCAGGCCCTCACCTTGGAGATGAAAATGCCCTCGTCGGTGGGGTCGCAGGGGTTCCCGGCGTGGCCCTTGGCGCCCCCGCGGATGCTGATGCCCAGCTTCTCTCCGGGCGCCTTCTGGATGCAGAGCTCCCGCAGGCCCGGGGGCGGCGGGTCCCTCCGCACCAGCAGGACCAGCTCCAGGCAGGGCCGCAGCAGGGCACTGACGGCCTCCTGGTGCGTGGCCTCCCGCACGTCCTGCCCGTTCACGGCGAGGATGCGGTCCCCGACCCGAAGGCCACTCCGTGCAGCCAGGCCCCGAGGGAGCACCTGTGAGAGGGAGGCAGGGGCGCTCAGCGCGCAGGCCCGGTGCCCACCCTGCAGGGGCCGGGGCCCTCCTACCTTGGAGATGAACACGCCAGGCTCCTGGGCGCCGAATGGGTGGCTGGAGTGGTCGGAGCCCCCAACAACGCTGAGCCCCAGCGGGCCCCCCGCCCTCGGCAGGCAGATCTCCTGGGGAAACCAAGGGCGTGAGGGGTGGGGCCAGCCTGTCAGCAGCTGAGGGGGCTCCCCTCCAGCCTGAGGGCAAGGCCACGGCAGCGGCACCAGGTGTCGGGGGGGCCCATGGGGAGAGGACGCTGCACTCGGCCAGAGCCCGGCATCCTGGGGCTGAACACCCACCTCCCGCCTTGGCTGCTGGGGTGCAGGCTGCATGGGTGCTGTGTGTGTGGGGGGTGAGGTCTCACCTCCACGGGATAGGGCCCCTCCAGGGCAGCGGCAAGCAGGCTGGGGGCCAACCGCAGAGGCCCAGGACCCGCGGGGGTGGCAGTGACCACAGTGGTGGGGGCAGCAGCGGGGAGCACAGGGGAGTGTGGCGGGGGGCTGGGAGAAAGGGGGCCCCCCGCCTCCCGCTCCAGCAGCAGGGCGATGGTGGGGGAGGCGGCGGTCAGCAGGGAGACGGCGTGGTCGTGCCTGGCCTCAGTCATGTCCACCCCGTTGATCTGCGAGGGAGCGGCTGTTAGGAGACCCAGCGGGTGACGATGAGGGTGCACCGGGGACCCACGACCTGACTCACCGAGAGGACACGGTCGCCGACCTGCAGAGTGCCCGCCCGGTGGGCAGCGCCCCCCTCGGCGATCCGGGAGATGAAGATGCCCTGTGGGGGGAGGGAGGCAGCTGTGCCGCAGGAACACAGGGTGGAGGTCCTGGCCCCCGTACCCGCCCCTGCGCCCACTCACTGTGTCGCCGGCCCGGTAGGGCGTGGAGCCTTTCCCGCCGGCAATGCTGAAGCCCAGCCCCTTCTCGCTGCGCACCAGGCAGGCCACGTGGCGCCGCCGGGGGGGCCCGGGGGTCTCGGGCGGGGGCAGGCGCGGACCGGCACCCCGCCGCTCCCGGGGGCTGTAGTCGTCCTCGGGCCGCAGGGCGGTGAGGGTGACGGCGTTCTCGGGCTCCACCATGCGCTCTCGCCACAGCCGCATCTGCACGGTGGTGCCCGCCCCCCGCAGCGCCTCCACGGCCTGGTGGTGCTCGGCGCTGTGCAGGGCCACGCCGTTCACCTGTGGACGCAGCCGTCAGAGCCGGCCACGCCAGGGCCCTCATGCCCTCTGCGGCCGGGGGCGGGGATGGGTCACGGGCGCCTGGCGGGTCCCCTTCCCGTCCGTGCAGCCCCAGGACCAGGACACGTGCTGGCTGAAGGGAGCGGTGAGGCCCTCCTGCCGCCCACACCTGTGTCCCGAGTCCAAGGTTGCCCGGCCCGCTCGCCCCGGAGCAGCCCCAGAGCCCGGGTCGCCCAGCTCCTAGGACTCCCACCCAGAACGGCAGCAGCCCGGCCTGGACCAGCACCCCCGGGCTCCCTGACGCCTGCTGGGCTGGGGGCAGGGCCGAGCAGGGGATCCAGGGCAGGCACCAAACTCCCGACCAGACCCTCAGGCGGGCCACGTGCCCAGCCAGTGCCCCCGAGGCCCTGCCTCGGCCTCCTGAGCCTCCCCTCGCCCGGGCCTGGTGCTGGGAGCCCCAGACCCCGAGGGGCGGCCTGTGTGGGGCGGGGTGGACCCTCTGAGGCCGCGACTCACCTCCAGGAGCTTGTCCCCCACTCGGACTCCAGCCCGGGCCGCGGGGCCCTCCTCCGACACCCGAGAGATGAATATGCCCTGGAGGGTGAGCGCGGGCTGAGCCGAGGGCGGCACCAGGGAGGCCCCGCAGCCCCAGGCTGAGCGCGAGCCACTGCGGTCCCCTGACCTACGGGTCCACCTCCAGGAAGTTATCGACCTAACCCAGGCCAAGGCCCCGCCTGCAGGTAAGTGCCCCCAGACTAGATCCAAAGCCCGAGTTCAGTCCCGGATCAGCGGTCAGTGCTCGGGGAGGGGCTGGGCGGGCAGCCGGAGGGCAGGTCTCCTGGGGCAGGGAGGCAGGTTCGAGGGCAGCGCCCATCGAAAAGCAAGCCGTGCCCGGCCGGGCGTGGCTCAGTGGCTGAGCGTTACCTGTGACTCTCAGCACTGGTGTCCCTCTCCCTCTGAAATCAGTAAACAGGTTGGAAGAGCCAGCTTGGGTTAGGATGTGCCCCGGGGCCAGGGCCAAGGGTGGTGGCAGAGGCACTCACCTCGTCGTCTCCCTTGTAGGGGGTGGAGCCCTTGCCACCTGCAATGCTGATGCCCAGGCCGCCCGTCTGCCGCACGATGGTCAGCGTTAGCTGGAAACGAGAGACACACCGAGTTCAGGGAGGGCAAGGGCGGCCCTGACCTCTGTGCTGGCACCGCTGCCACGGGTTCAGGCACGAGAGAAGCCGGAAGAGGGGGACGATCCTGGGCAGTGTGGCAGCTGAGGGCCGGTGGGTGATGAGGGCCAAGGCCCTGCAGGCGGGTGGCTGGCAGGAAATGCCCGCACCTGCCGAGACCCCCCGCCCGTCCCCGGGGCCAGAGGCCAGCGGGCCCCTCAGGGACAGGGTGGCGGGCAGGGCTCCTCTGGGTGGGGGTGGGGCAGGAGCGGGAGGAGGCGCGTGAGCCCGCAGCCCTGGAGGCGAGCGCAGCAGCGGGCAGAGCAGGCAGTACAGACCTCTTCCTCCTCAATGCGAGCGGGCTCTATCAGCAGGTTATGGGCCTGGTCAAACGACACCCCCTGTCAGGACAGGACCAGCGAGGCATGCGGGTGAGCGCCCGGCCCGCCACCTCCGGCCCCACCGCAGCAGCAGGAGGAAGCCCCACAAGCCCCACAAGCCCGCAGCCGCGCAGCCGCCCCGCGTGCTGGGCCCCGAGGGCTGGGCCGGGCGTCTCAGTTCGACCTTCGAGCCCCCTCAGCGACCACGGCATGCTCGAGCACAGGGCAGGATGATGGAGATGTCAGAAACGGGGTGCTGTGGGCACAGGGCACCCCAGAGAGCAGGCAGGACCATGTGGGCCAGGAGAGCCTGAGGCCAGAGGAAAGGCAGCGGGAAACCCAGCCCGAGGCGGCCGGGAAGGCAGAGCAGCCGGGGGGCCACCGGGCGCAGGAGGGGCCTCTGGGCCCAGCCCGGAGGTGGTGGCGTCCAGCCCTGGGAGCGGGTCCCTCCACTGAGCCAGGGCTGCCACCGCGCCTGCGGAGACCGGCGCCGGCACAGACCTGGCCACTGGGCAACAAACAGAGACACCGCTGCCTCGGCGGCAGCCGGGTCAGGTGTGAACGGGTGAGACGCACCTTGACAGAGGGCAGCGAGGCCACAGCCTCCTCCTCCTCCTCGTCCTCCTCCTCCTCCTCCTCCGCCTCCGCCACCACTGCCTCCTCCTTGGCCTCCTCGTCCTCGGCCCGCGGAGCCCAGGGCGTGTGCGGGCCGTTGTGCCAGCCGCCCAGCCCCGCGGGGCCCTCGCCGTCCGGCTGCATCCCCTGCAGCAGGGCCACGACGGCCTCGGGCTGGGGCAGCTTGGAGACCTTGAACTGCTTCTTGTAGTGAGGCGTGTCCTTGCGGGTGAGCCGCTGCCGCCCAGGCAGGGCCCAGGGGGCCTCCAGGGGCCCCTCCTCCCTCTCGCCGTCTTCCGCAGGCGGCAGCAGCAGGGTGTCCTCCGCAAACCGCACTGTGGGCTGCGAGGGGCCAGCGTGAGGGCAGCCCACCCTCCTGCCCCCAGGAGCCAGGGCTGCCCGGCACAGGAGGCAGCAGACGGGGCTGGAGGCTCCCTGCATGGAGATCGAGGGGGGGGGACGCGGCCGGCGGCACACACAGCCTGGGGGCTCCTCCCTCCCCCGTGCAGGACTCGGGGAGTCGGAGGCAGGGAGCACGTCAGGACCAGGGAAAGGTCTGGGGGGACAGGCCGCGGGGATCTGCCTGGGTGACCGTGGGAGGGCAGCACCCAGGCAGCTGTGGGGGAGACCCTCACCCCGGCCCCCGCTCCCCGATGGTCCTGCAGGCACCCGCGTGGGGGGGGGGGGTAAGCAGTCCCCTCCCAGGCACGTGGCCTCCCAGGCGGCCTCACCTCCTCGTAGGCCTCCTCCTCGGCCTCCTCCGGGGTGGCCGGCGGGCGTGGGCCCTCTGCCTCGGCCGGCAGGCCCTCGGGCTCCCCCTGGGCGGCGGGGCTGGTGGGCAGAGGCGCATCCTCACTCAGGCCGGACCCGGTGCTCAGCCTCCTCTCCTGCAGAGGCTGCCGGTCAGGCTGCGCGGGTCAGTCCCTCGCCTGCCCCAGCTCCTGCCCCAGCCCCTCGGAGCCGCCCGGCTTGGCCGAGGGCTCAGCTCTCAGCCACCCTGTGCCCCAGGGAAGCTGCACGGCCTCCAAAGGGGACTGTGGGCACCCGGAGCCACCGCCTCGGGCACAGCCCTCACGTCCCCCCAAAAGTCAGAAGAGCAGCACAGAACCAGCTCCCAGGAGGACGCAGCCTGAGCGCCCAGCAGGTGCGGCAGCGTCGAGGCCAGGGGGGGCCCAGGGGTCCAGAGCACCCAAGCCCTCCCGGGGCCCTAGCACCCTTCACAGCAGCTGGTACACCTGTGCCTGCTGGGTGGGCACTCAAAGGGCTGTGCTACCCCACGACCCAGACCTCTCCCTGCGCCACCGCAGACAGGGCTGGTCGTCCCGCTCCTGCCCATACACCTGCACTGCTCCCCACCCCGCCCAGCACCCCTGCACTTCCCACCCCCCCCAGCTCTGCCCACCTTGGGCCCTTAGAGCCCCACACCCAGAAAGATGAACGCCGGCCCTCCCGCCCTGTGGCCCATAGGCACCTCCTCCGAGGGCGAGGGCGAGGGCGAGGGCGGCCGGGGGCCAGGCCTGCAGGCTTCTCCACGCCGCTCCTCCACGCCCCTCTTCATCACCTTGAGCTCGCTGGGGTGGGGCGTGGCCCGGCGCTGCAGTCCCTGCGGGCACAGGGGTGAGGGGTGGGCAGTGCAGGGTCAGGGGGTGGGGAGCAGGCCCCTGGCCCAGGGACCACGTCCCCCCATACCCGCTTCTCGGCGGCGGCTTCCTCAGCATCCTCGTCGCTCACGGGGGCCCCCAGAAACTTGATGACGCTGACGCGGCTGAGGGGGGCGTCACTCCAGCTCTCGGAGGGGCTGCTCCTCGGCCCGGGGTCCTCTGGGGAGCGGCACAGCTCACTCAGCCTGGCCCCCGGCCACACCCCCGCCGGGTCTCCCGCCCACGGCAGCAACCTACCGAGGCTGGGCGGGGGCTGCTGGGGCAGCAGGTAGCAGGTGAGCACCTTCTCGCCGGTCTGGGCATCGTCCTCCGTCTGGAACCGGAGCATGGGCTGCGCCTGGTTCTCTGCCAGCCACAGGGCCTTGAGGTTGAGGTGGGTGAGCGCGAACGGCAGACTCTGCAGCCTGGGGGCCGCACACAGTCAGCCCGGGGGGCATGGTCAGCCGGGGGGGTATGGTCAGCCCGGGGGGGTATAGTCAGCCCGGGGGGGAGGGACAGTCAGGCTAGGGGCACGGTCAGCTCAGGCGCAGGGCTGTGGGCTCTCACCGGTTCCCGGCCACGTCCAGCACATGCAGTTCGGCCGTGTGGGCGAGCTCGGGCGGCAGGATGGCCAGGCGGTTGTCCCTCAAGGACAAGACGCTGAGGGCTGCACAGCCCCCGATCTCAGGTGGCAGCACCTCCAGGCGGTTCCGGTCTACGTTGAGGTTGGTCAGCTTAGTCAGCTTCCCGAGTGAGTGGGGCAGAGCCTGGCGGGGGTGGGAAGGGTCAGAGGTCGGCAGAAGCGCACTGGGATGAGGAGGGAGACACAGCCCTGGGGCCGTCGCTCACGGGATCTGGCCTCTCCCCCTCCCACTGCCTCCCATCCAAGCCAACACCTGCTCTGCCCACCTGGGGCTCCCCTGCTCTCTGCTCCCCGCTGACTCTGGGACCTACAGAGCAGGGCGCAGCCGCGGGGCCGGGCCTACCGTCAGCAGGTTCTCGGTGAGGATCAGCTCAGACAGGTTCTCGCAGCCCCCAATGGCCTCGGTCACCTCGCTCAGGCGGTTCTGGTCCACCTTCAGGATGGACAGCTGCTTCAGCTGACCTGGTGTTGGGGCGTCGTGGCGACAGGGCCAGTGGGTTGGGGGCCAGGCGCCCACTCAGTGGAGACAGCCTGCCCCTGCCCTGCCCCTCCCGACCCCCGGCATCCTCCACGCCTCAGCCCTGGAGATGAGCCGCCGCTCTGCGGGTCGGCCACCCTCTGGGCCATCGTCCCCACTCAGCACCAAGCGCCTCAGGGGGCCCCTTGCAGCCCCCCCCGCCCCACGACTGCAGCCCGGCCGCCCAGCAGGACTGACCGATGCCGTCTGGGAGCCGCTGCAGCAGGTTCTGGGACAGCAGCAGGTCCGTGAGCAGCGCCAGCCCCCCCAGCTCTGTGGGCAGCGCCTCCAGCCGGTTCTCCGACACGTCCAGGCACACCAGGCGCCGCAGGTTGCCGAGCTCCTGAGGGCGGTGGAGGGTCAGGGCACCGGCTGGGCCAGGGGCGGGGCGGCTCCCCCTCACTCACCGGCGGCAGTGCCGACAGCTGGTTCCGGTCCAGCCACAGCTCCCGCAGGTTGGGCAGGGCGCCCAGGGTGTCAGGCTGTGGGAACAGGGGCAGGAGTCACCCAGGCTCGCCTACAGCCTGGCCGCCCCGCCCCGCCCCAGCGCCCCGCCTTCCGCACCAGCACTTCCAGGTCGTTGCCTCCCAGATCCAGCTGTTCCAGCTTGACCAGGAAAGACAGGGACCTGCACGGGAAACAGAGCAACTTTCGTTTCAGGTGCCCGGCCCGAGCTGCCCCCCGCGGGCACCTGGTCACTCACGCAGGCAGGGACTTGAGCAGGTTCTCCCGGAGCTCCAGAGTCACCAGGTTGGCGAGGCTGAAAGAGAGGCCGGTGGGCGTGAGGGAGGGACTGGGGGGGGCAGCAGGGCGAGCCAAGGCCCCAGCGAAGGGCACTCACTTGCCCATGTCGCCGGGCAGCGTCTGCAAGGACACGTCGTTCAGAGCCAGGTGGGCCAGGCTGCGCAGCTGAGTGAAGCCCTCGGGGAGCCTACGCGGAGGACGGGCTTCAGACGTGCGGGCCAGGGCGGGGGCCCGCGTCCCACCACAGCCACCACTCACTGGGACAGAGGGTTCCCGCTGAAGTCCGCGATCTCCAGGGCCTTGCAGAACTTGATGCTCTCGGGGATCTCGGGGATGTCTGTGACAGGAGGGCGTCACCAGAGACGCCCACGGCCTCCAGGAGCTCCCCGACCTCCTGCCACCCACAGACGCCACCCCACCGCCCGGGCCCCGCACCGTTCCGCGACACGTCCAGCTCCACCAGCTGCATGAAGTTGGCCACCTCGGGGGGCAGACGCTGGATCTCGTTGTCACTCAGGCCCAGCTTGCGCAGGTTCAGCAGCCGGAAGAAGGGCTGTGGGCAGGGGGTGAGGTCAGGGGGGAAGCTCTGGACCAAAGGCCCCTGCAGGGTAGACGCAGGCTCCCAAGTCACAGGTCCCCTGGCCTCTGCCTGCTCCGGCCACACAGGAGCCCAGGTCTTGTACCTGCCCTTCTGCAGCAGGACAGCGAGGCGGAAACACACACACACACACACACACACACACACACACACACACACGGCTGACACCGGGTCCCTTCCTGTCACCTCAGACGTGGTACGTGGTCCCTGCTCCCGGCCGCACCTCGCCTCACACTTCCCAATCTCATCAGAGCCCTGGCCGGTCCCTGCTTCCTACCCGTGTTCCTCGGGGCCTCCACCTGCCACCTGAGTGACCCCCCCTGCAGGTGAGCCCTCCAGTGGCTTCCCTGCCGCACTCCAGCCCGGCCAGCCCCCAGGGAGAGGAGCGGAGGCGGCAGTGCCGCGGTGCCCGGGGAGCTGCGTGCAGGGGCTGCAGGGAGCCTGGGCACCTGGACAGGACCTGCGAGCAGCCCTGGTGCGCGGCAGACGGGAGCCACATCCTCTGTGGCCCGAAGCCCCGGCCTGTCCGCTCAGCACCGGCCTCCACAAAGGAAGTGCCGGGGCGCTGGCTTCCTCCAGCCTCGCTGCAGAGGAGCCTTGAGGAGGACAAGCGGACCTGAAGGGACACAGCAGCGGGCGGTGGACAGAGGGCAGGGCTGCCAGGACAAGCCCCTTCTGGGGGCTGCCTGCCCCTCCCGGGCCGGGAGGAGGAGGAAAGCAGCCCCGAGAGCCGGGCCCCACCCCCCGCGCCGCCGGCCAGTGAGCGCCCGCACGGCCGGGCTCACTTTCACCTTCGCCCGCATCTGCCTCCTCGGTCGCTCCCCCGCTTTCCCTGCGGCTGACCATCCCGCCCCGAGGCGGGCGCCTGATGACCGCGGCCACCTGGTGCCGGCGGCGGGGCGAGGAGGGCGAGGCCGGCGGGGTGGGGCTCCGGCCGGTGAGAACCAGCAGGGCCGGTGCAGGCGCCCCGCCCGGCCGGCCGGCCTGCGAGCGCGGCTCACCTTGGGCAGCTCGCGCAGCTGGTTGGCGTCGAGCAGCAGCTCCTCGAGGCTGCGGCTGTAGCGGTAGATCTCCTCGGGCACGGCCTGCAGCGAGCAGTGCCGCTTGTCCACCGACTCCACGTGCCGGTTGCAGCGCCAGAGCGGGATGCACTTGAGCATGGTGCGGGCGGCGCGGCGCGGGCGCGGGCAGAGGCGGGGGGCGGGGCGGGGCCCGCATGAGCGCCCGGCGTCGCGGGCGGCGGGAGGGGCGGGGGCGGCCGGGCTGCCCGGCGCTGGGCCCGGCCCGCGCCCGGAACGCTCGGAACGCTCGGTCCGCCGGGGGGCGCGGCCCGGCTGGTGCTCACACTCTCGGGAGACGGCGAAGGTGGCGGCGGCCCCGCATCCCGCCCGACCCCCGACCCGCTCGCCCGCCGCTGTGCCGCAGCCGGAACCGCCGCCGCTACCCGCCGGACTGCCCCGCCGACAACCGCCGGCCGCCGCGCAGCCCGCCGGGAAGCCGAGGCCCGCCCATCGCCGCCGGGACTGCAAACCCCATAAGGCCGTGCGGCGCGGGCGCCTCCGAGGACCCGTAGCGAACCCGCGCAGCCTGCTGGGAAGCCCCGCTCCCGTCCTGGGCGCGAGGCACGATGGGAGCTGAAGTCCGCGGTGGCTAGAGGGCCCCACCTACGCCGTGTGCGGGCCCTGGCCCTCCTCCCACGTCGCCTAGACCTTCCTGTCACCTCAGATGTGGTCCCTGCTCCCGGCGGGCACCTCGCCTCACTCTCTCGGGGACGAGTGACAGGAGTGGGGTCACCAGAGATGCCCACGGCCTCTTGCCACCCAGACTCCCCACCCGCCTGGCCCCACACCGTCCCGGACACGGCCCGCTCCGCGGAGCTGGCCCCCTGATCACGGATCCGGCCCACGCCCTCCTCTCCTAAGCGGCCCTGCGACCTCGGTGACCCCCCCAACCCCCAGGGCCTCCCCCAGCCCCGCCTCAGCCAAGAAGACAGGACCACCGGGCCTCGGGCCAGCAGCATCTGCACTTTATGCGCGCGCGGCCGAGACACTACAAAACCGAGGAAACAAGGGCAAGAGCAAGTCCAGGGGCGGGGCGGGGCCGAGGTCACGCGGAGAGGTCACTGTTATCAAAACGCTCCTGGTCGTACACTTCAGCCACCACCTTGCGGCCGGCGAACCAGCGCCCGTTGAGGGCCTGGATGGCCTTGTGAGTCTCGGAGGCCATGGAGAACTCCACGAAGATCTTGACGATGATCTCGGCGTCCTCCTCCTCGCCCTGCTTCTCCTGGTAGATGATGACGCGGTTGACGGCCCCGAACTTGCCGCACTCCTCGGTCACCTCCCCCTCCAGGTCGTCGTCGATGTCCTTGGGGTCCACCATGTTGCGCAGAACCATCACTGTGGACTGTGGGGGGATGACAGCTGAGCCGCTGAGCCACGGCACACCCCGCCCGCCGCCCCCGCCCCCGCCCCCGCCCGCCGCCCCCCACCTCCTGCTTGCGGAGCAGCTTCTGCATGACCATGTGGCGGGCGCTGCTGCCAGAGATGCTCATGTGCTCCTGCTCACTCAGCATCTCCGGCCGCTCGGACTCGGGGAACAGCTCCTCCTCCTCCTTCTCCTTCTTGGGCTCCAGGAGGCCCAGCGTCGGAGGGCTGGCAAGGATGGGGTTCACCACGCCCACAGAGGGGATGGTGACCGGGATGGGAGGCCGGGCTGGGGTCACACCTGCAGCCAACACACCAGGTCCAGCAGTCACTCCCACCCCCTCCCCAGGAAGGAGCACAGCACCCGCACCCGGGCAGCTGGGGGCAGTGAGCCCAGAGAGAGGCAGGGGGAGGTGGAAGCCCTGACCCAGCAGGCTCACCTGTGATGACTCCTGGGGCCTGGGCAGCCATGACAGCCTGAGGTAAAGCCCCCAAGGGCTGGGCCAGAGTCAGTGCAGGGGACACCAGTCCAGGGGTGGCCAGAGTACCCAACACCGCTGCTCCGGCCACCGCTTCCTGCAACCGAAAAGGACACCACACTGAGTCCCAAGCCTGGCTGCCTCCACTCTATGCCACCCGGAGAACCAGTCAGTCCCCAAAGCACTCGGGGCCTATTGCCCAGGATTGAACCCACACACTGTACTCGCCCTCACCTGAGCCGTAATCTTGGCTGTGGCTGCAGCTGCAGCCACAGCAGCAGCTGGCGGGAGGCCTCCAGGTGTGGCAGGTGTAAGCAGGGGCATAGGGGGTGTGACAGCCTTGCCCACCCGCAAATACTGGCCACCCAGGTCAAAGAGGTTCATGGAAGACACGGCATCTTGAGACGACTGGGCCTTCTCATACTCTGCAGGGCAGGAGCAGCAATGAGGGCCAGCCACAGAGTGGAGTGGGCCCCAGCCCAGGCCCTGCCTCAGCCTCCCCAAGCTCACCAATGAAACCATAGCCCTTGTGCTTGCCGGTCGTGGGGTCCCGGGCCAGCGTGCAAGATTTGATCTTGCCAAAGGCCTCAAACACGCTCTTGATGTCATCATCCGAGAGGTCCTGATGCACAGAAGCCACGTAGATTCGGTTGAAGGCCCGTGCCTCTTCCGCCAGCTGGTCTATGATGGGCTGGGCCTGCCCTATGTTGCTGGGCCTGCCCACCTGGGGGAGAGGCAGGGGACCAAGAGCCGCCAATCAGCCAAGGCTTGGCCACTTCAGGCCTCCAGAGGGCGACCGCATCTCCTGGGTGAGTGGACAGAACATCTCCCATCAGCCCCAGGGCCCGCCTCCCTGGCACTCACCTTGATGTTCCTGCCGCCCAGCATCACTGAGTTCATCTGCTCCAAGGCCAGCTGCGCAGCCTCTGGGACCTCGTACTCCACAAACGCAAAACCCTGGACACAGGATGTACCATTAGGCCTGGAGCGCCCGGGGGGAGGGGGGGGGGCAGGGCAGAGCCAATCTCACCTTGTGCTTCATGGTGACAGAGTCCCAGGACATGTCAATGCTCTTGATGGGCCCAAAGGGGGCAAAGGCCTGGCGAATGGTGTCCTCACCCAGCTCATAGTAGATGGAGCCCACGTAGACCCGGCACATGATGGCCAGTGCCCGCTGCCGCTGAGCTGCCATCTGGAGCAGGACACAAGGGGAGAGAGGGCCACTGGCTTGTGACGGGGTGGCAGGAGGCTAGGCAGCCCACGCCCCTCCTGGCCCACCCACTCAGCACCACTGTGGTGAGGGCTCCCCACGCAGCAGCACGGTGCAGGCTCAGCCCTGCAGACAGGGTGGTGAGGGTCCGCAGAACCCTACCCCAGGAAGGAAGACGAGGCCCAAAGGCAGGACACGGACACACCCGGGCCCGCCCAGGTCCTGGGCAGACTGGCAGCAAAGCTGACAGGTGGCTGGGAGGCAGGGCTGTGTGCCCTCCCACCCAGCCCCTGCTCCAGCCTAGACGCCAGGAGTCCTGGGCTGGGCCGGGAGATCCTCCTGGGGTCCTGACCACGTGTTCCAGCAGATGAGGGAAGGGGTGCCATCCCAGCTGGAAGGACCCGCTGGTGTGGAGGCAAGAGGGGGACACAAGGCAGGGCGCCCAGAAGAGACCCCAGGGAAGGTCAGGAGCCCAGATTGGGGGCTCCCTGCAGAGAGAGTGAAGAATAGCTACTTGTGCAGGGCCAGCTCAGGCAGAAGCTCAGCGACTGCAAGACCCCATGCCTCAGACCCCTCACAAAAGAGCTGCCTGGAGCCCACCCCCACACCCAGGGGACCTGGCCCCAGGAACATCAGGTGACAGGTCTGGCAGGCCCAGGGCAGGCGCTGCCTCTGTGTTGGGGTGAGTCTGGCCATTGTGCTTAGCGACTTCCCATACCCCCAGGGAAGGGGTTCCCATTCCTGCCACCTCAGACACAACGTGCCAGGCAGGGGGAGGGGGGTGTCTAGAGCCACAGCAGTGGGCCCCCAAGAGGAGCTGGGCCCGGGAAAGAGACCACAGCCAAGGGCTGGCAAAGATGATGGGGCCCTGGCTCTAGCTTTTCCACCAACAGGGGCGCCCCTCACCCTCACAAAAGTCCCCATAACCAGAGGCCCATTTCCTTCTTTAGACACCAGCTTAGTATAAGCTGGGCATCCCCTCCCTCAAGGAGGGACCTAAAAAAAAGGTCCACAGCTCCCCCAAAGAAGGAATTCCCCAATTGGGCACCTCCTCAAACTGGGCTCCTGACAAACAGGCCTCAGGCTCCCTGTTGAGACCAAGGACCCCAGAGGTGGAACCATGGCCCTCTCACTAGGCACCTGAGACATGACCCTGTCCCTCCTCAAAGCCCCCAAGACAGAAGCCTGTCCCTCTTCAGTGGGAGCTCCCCAAGCAGGTGGGCGAAGACCCTCTCCCTGACGCTCCCCACAGACAGACGCTTCCCAGAGAGGACACTGGGTCTGTCTGGCCCTTGAGGACAGGACCTTGCTACCCTGTGAGAACAGCATGCCCAGGAAGGGCCCCCAGAGAAAGGGCCATGTTCCCAGAGGGGTCCCTGGCCTCCTCAGCCTGCCTCTGGGGGATGGAGGGGTGTCTCCTCCCCAAACTCCTCTGCCCGTAGCAGCCAAGGCCATGGCTACACCTCCTCCCTGGCCGCAGGCCCTGTACCCCTTGCTCACAGCCAGGCCCAAGGCCCAAGTTCTTGCCCTTCCCTCTCTCGCTGGCTCGGGTTCCCCCAGCCCCACCTTGTCCATCCCTCCTCCCTCCAGGGTCTGACGGGGCCATGAGTTACGACCCTTCTCTTCTCAGGGCCTGACCCCAACCCAGGAGCCAAGGCAGCCTGGAGACTGGCGGAGCTGGAGGCCTGGGCGGTGCACCTGTGTGTGGAGGCGGCACGGGTACAGGTGGGCCAGGCGTGGGCACCTACCCTCCTGGCCGGCTGCCCTCCGCAGTTACCTGACCCTCAGAGCAGATGGAGGCCTCCCCGGGGCGGTCCCAGGTGGGTGCCCGCCCACACCACTGGCCCCGCCACGCCTGGCGCTCTGTTGCGCTCGTCCGAGCTGGCGGGCAGGGCCGGCTCGGGGAGCAAGGTCCCCAGCACGCGGCTGCACTGCCCCCCTCTAGCCCTGACTAAGGACATGAGCCCCGGAAGAAGTGAGCATTTCTATTGACCGATTGCAAAGGTGAGAGAGGATCTCCAAAGCCCATTGTCACTGCTGCCATCTGAAAGACAGTAAAGACAGAGTTCAGTCTGTTGGAGCCGAGCAGTCTCCCGCTCTTGTCACGCCTCACGCAGACAGCGGCCAGGCCCGGAGCCCCGCCCTGCCAAGAGGCCCGCTTGCCTTCCCACGTGGCCGGCCAGTGGCGGCTGCCAGCACCTGCCCAGAGGGGCCTCGGAGCCCCAGGTGCCCCGCCCCGCAGCCTGGCCGGCCGGGGCAGAAGGAAGGGAGAGGGGAGCGAGCGGAAGGGAAC